GTAAGTGATAACCGCTCTAGATTCCCAATTGCTAGGGTTATGTCACGTCACTATGTACATAAGAACACCACCGGGGACATTTGAGAATCGGACCATAACAGCATCCCACTTGGCCCCCCGGCCCCCGCTCCCCTCTTACCCCTGTTTGAGAATTGGACATAGTATAATGTCTTATACACTTTGTACATAGAGTACACTGTACATTGCAGGAAAATACTGCAGTATCTAAACAGGAGAAAAGAAGGGAGGGAGTGATTTGGGCGGAGAAAGGTGTGGGCGTCGTTGATCCGTGTACGCCGTCGTACTTATAGTGTACAGTACAACCCTTCAAGCTGAGCTGCAGGTTTGAATCCGATCACCATCACCGCAGCAGCACCACCGCCGCGGCGGCCGCCCCTCCCGGCGCTTGTTCCCTTCCAGACTGAAAATGATTTTTGGGGGAAGTCGTGATCATTCAAAACCGCCTAATAGCAATTCATTACAGGCAAAGAGAAAATACCAAAAAAACTAAATGGGCTGTCATGCAGCCCAACCAAGAACACTTTGTTTCCGTAGATGAGATAAGTCAGGTACAGTTGATTTACTACTACTACGACTACCACTCGAAAAAAAGGCATTCCCAAGGGGGAAATTTACCCCATACGAACACCACGAAGATTCACCGAGCCTTTTCCCCCAATCGAGGGCTGTTCCCAAGGTCCTCCCATGCCCCAGTTTCCCCCTCCACATACCGGTAATTAACATAAAATACATGCTCAACTGTAAGGGCTGGGGCTGAGTTTTGGAGGGGGGGCTGGGCGAGTAAGAAAAGAAAATTGAAAAAAAAAAAATTAAAAAGGGACCAACGCCGAGCCGACCGAGAATGGAAGAGAGGCAGGGGGTTTTTGGTGGGCGCGCGCGGGCGAGCCACACCCACCACAGCGGAAGATGGCCGGGACTACGTCATGGGAAAAGAAGAATGATTTGCAGCTAAACTAAACCCGGTGTTACATGCTCTCTCACTTTTAGTGCGCGGCCATTCTAGATGACAATCTCCCGTGTCTGGAGGCATTGTGACTCGTTGGTCGGTAGATAGTTCTCTCGTTCAAGGTTTTGCCCAGGTGTCCACGTACTCATACTCAGACTGTGGAGGACGCGTTCCTGGGTTGAGATTTGCGTACATTGTCCTGACCTGCGGAGGTATGTACTGTAGTCATGGACTGTACTGTAGGACTTGTACTGTACTTTGCTGCTGTCCGTATCCTCAGCAGGGTGTTGCGCATCCTAAGCTCAGCTCGCCACGTCAATGGTTGGTAAGCTTGCTGAGGTGCTGATTTTGCTTTGTCTTTCCGGTAGTTTCATGCTGTTCTCGACTTCATCATTGGATCATCATTATCATCATCATTATCATGGTCACATCTACGGCTGCAATGTGGGAGGGAGGGGATCAATGAATGTGGGAGAGAAATGTGGGTTCCATGTGTACCGTCAGTGAAACTTCCAGGTGTGTGTGTGTCTCCTTCAGGCCCCGGCGCAGAAACACCATCTGATTAGTTTGTACTGTACGTAGTACCGGGCCGAGGCCGGGGTACTGTCTTCCACATGTTCTGATTTGACAGGAAGCAATAATTAGCATGAAGAAAGGGGGGGGAGGAAATATTATTAATGAATTTAGAGCCCGGCGGATCAAAACCTAAGATCTGGTGTCATCGTCCCCAAGTCCCGGATTTATCCACTGGACACGATCCAGGGTAGACAACTTCTACGAGAAACCTCCCATTTTGGGATGAGACGGGAAAGAGAAGCCATAGAAGAGTTTTTTTCAGAATGAAGACGGAAGAGGAAAATCTCTGCAACGGTGCAACCACAAAGTTGAGACGGCGTGAGTACTAAGAAGAGAGACTGGGGGCGTGGTGGTGTAAGAGTTTGTGTGTGAGGTATCGGGTGATTTCGGGAGAATTGCGGCCCTTTTTCCTCTTTCCTGGGGGAAGGCTTGTGAGTCTATCCGTAAACAGGGCGGGCAACTATTGCGGAGAAAGAGAGAAAGAAATTTTCTTACCTAACCCGACTTTTCCCTGCCCCCCCTCCTCTTTCCCCCCTTCAGTCCCTTCGGGCTCGCGTCCTCAAAAGGGTTTTCCGGTGAAGCAGCCATCGTCGTTAGGGCCTGTTCTGGCCTTGGTTGGGCTGTTTCTCCCCCGGGACTTTCCCCCCCTCAGCTCCCCTCCCCCTCTCTCCCGGTCTCCCTTCTCCCTCTTCCTGTTCACTTAGCCATGGTTTGACTTTTCCCCCACCCCCTCTCCCCGCCGCCTTCTCTAGGCTAGGCTAGGCTCTCGGTCTGAGGCAATTTTTTTTCTCTCTCACTGTGCCATCGGGATGTCCGACCCGAGTCTCTCTCTCTCTCTCATGCTCTGCCGAATCTATCCCGAATCCCGTGGTGGTCTGAGCCGTTCTCACTGGGCGGTTGGCCTCAAGCTGCTCTTTGTCCGGCAGAAGGGATCCCGGTGGGTTGACGCTGCCTTTACCGTGCACTGCGCCCAGGCGAGGCGTGGCTTGACTGGCTTACTCTTCTGGGAAATTATGTAACTATTCTTATCATGTCGTGATGTGTTGGTGTTGGTGGCCCGGTCAGGGTCAAAGAAAATGAGATGAACCCTCCTCCCTCGGCAATTTCCTCCACCCGGCCAAATTTTTCCTGCGACTGCTCGTCTATCAATACAGGAGCTTCATTGGGTAGACTTGTTATTTGTCACTCAAAGCTCACTAAGTCACGTTGTAATTGAATAGTTCCAAAAACTGGGGATCGTTGAGGGGCATCTGGGAAGGTGCAGTGTACAGCAGTTAGAACAGGGTAAAGGGAGAATTCTTCTCTTCCTACGACCCAATCATTTTACATTCGCTACCTATCGTTTGCCATGCACCAACTGTTTTCATTTTCTGCGTTGTCATCCTATTTGTAGCGGTGAGTATGTATAGAAAAAAAAATTTCTCGCCTAATTATCACTTCTTGCTTGCCGATGATTCACCTCTCAGGCACAAACAACACATCCTGCCCGCCTCATCTTTTTGCCTCTGCTTTTCCCCTTCTTGGGTCTATAAGCGAGTTTACGTCCCGCGACATGTGTGGTGACTGTGCGCGACCTCCAAGCTCGGCTTGCACATTCGCGTTTCGCCCCATTAGGGAATGTTGTTTGGCCGGTGGTTATTATTCACTGTTATGTCCGACCTCTACATCCCTATCAAAAATATAGATTGTTTTCGCTTACTCCCCTCATCAGTCGAATGAACTACACACCCCCGCCCACAATTGGTGGAAATACACAGTTCCCCCCTCCATACCACCAATCAAAGACAGTAATCTCACATAGATTAAGACAACTATCCCCCCTGGCTCCCCCGGGTTGACAGCTGAGATAAGCCTTTTTTGCTTGTGACGTTCCACGTGACCGGGATTGCAACCACCCCTCCGGGGTGGTAAAGATTACTCCATGCGGGGAGAGAGAAAGAATTTCGACGGGTGATTTTTGTTCCGCCGGATCCCGTAGGCGAGTTGGTTGGCGAGAGTGGAGGGGTATTTTTCCGTGTGGGGGATTTGTCATAACTATGGAGATAAGTTGCCGAAGCCCGTTCACATGATAATTGTGTGGAGGGGTTGAGGGCTTGACTTATCCACATAGTACGACCGTGAGGCCTACAATTACGAGATAGTGGATTTGCTTATCAGGAGTAACTATAGTCAGGTGTTGCGCTTGTCGCTCGGGGGTGGAGAAGGAGTATTAGAGTGTTTACCTACATGGAGTAGGGATTGGTAGATTCCCCTTGGTGTGTGCAGTTTCCCCCCGCATTGGATGATCGAGGTTCTCTTGGTAGAGTAGTTTTCGTCCGGGCTTTTACTGGCCTCTTCGCACTTGCTTTAGTTGGGTGGTATGGGCTTGGAGCTAGCATCTCTTACTATGTAGTATGGGTCTGGGGTTGATCGATGGCGTTGGAGGGGTTCGCGGTACGGGTTTATGAGGGCCGAGGGGTTGAAGGCGGTATGTGGTGGTGGTATTGTTGTTGGCGGGCGCGATAGGAATGAACTGTTTATCCAGTACTTATTACATTGGTTATGTGGTTTATGTTGTCTGTAGGTATTGCTTATGTCTATAGTCTCATCGATTGATGGATGATGAGTCTGTCGTTCCTGATTCTGTGCACATGGTGGTGTTGATGATCCGGGGACCGGAATATATCCTCGGAGGTTGAGCCGAGCAGATACACATGTATACACCTGACCAATGCACTAAAGAAACAACATGCAGGAACAATGTCACATCCTGAGTCTAGCTGTAGACATTGCCTGCGAGGCCCCGATTGATGTAGTGCCGGTGTCACACCATGCGCCTGAAAGGTTTTGTTATGTAACATGGCTCTTACTGTCGTAGTCATATGGTTGGTTTAGGTAGCTGCTGTCTGTCGAATCGAGGTTTGATCTGGTCTCCAGACCAAGCTAGGACGCTCTGAGGTGCTCGCACTTGAGTTTGCTCAGCGCAAAGCTAGCTAAACCTGTCTCAATCTAGCAATCGGGGTTCAGCGCCGCTATCGGCCAACAACCATATTAGTTCGCAGCTGGCACTGCAACAGAATACTCAGAGGCCTTGACCCTTGAAGATTTACTCCCATGACACCCTTACTGAGTCATGTGCTCTGAAAGACCGGACTGCCAAATAAACATAAAGGACGCTGCGCTGCACATTCCAATCCGATCTCCTCACGTCAGGATATTCGGCAATATTACCCAATGCGGCCGCGATGATGTCGCGCCTCAAGTATTCTGCCGCGTCTGGCCGCCCTTCGCCGGCCGAAGCAAAAGTTCAATCAGACAACTTCTTGGACAATGCAGCCTCTCTTCTGTACCTAGCTCATTCAAATCAACGCCAGTGCTCGAATGATAGATCGTCTTCTGCTTGTTCTCAGGGATACCACGTATCTTAATTTCTGATCTCTCGCGTCAGTCATCGCGCAATTTTCTGTCCTCGTGCTCCATGGCTCCCCCGCGTCAACGGACGGCGGCCGTCCAGGACGACTCTCGATCGGAGGGCTCCAGTACTACGAGAGAACACAAGACTACGAGTGTCAAGTCCCGGAAAGGTGCGAATGGGTCTCTGGTGACATCTGTTACCAGTCGAGAAGTCAAAGTCTCAGCAAACCTCGCCAATGTGACCAGTGCCCCCGCTGGGGGAAACGCTGCAGACGTGCCAAAGGTAAGCCTGCGAATTCCTCCTTGCCAGTCGCTAACAACCATAATCAACATCTCCGCTTCGATGACCTTATCCAGAGTCTAGAGTGACTAACATTGTGTTCTTTGGTGCAGATCCCCTGGAACGAGATGCCCCTTAGCCTCCTCCACTCGTACCGACACGCCTACAAACTCTCATCCCCCAGTGCCTTCCCCAGCGAATACTCTCACCTGCTCCTCTCCAGAGGCATTGGCCTACGATCCCCGACCTCAATCGCCGCCCAGCGCGCTCATCTACTTCGTCAAAATGAAACGATGAACGGCACCTCCCAGCCGTCGAGCAGCACCGCCAACGCCTCCACCAGCGCTACGACTGCCGCGAGAAAAGCCCCGCACGGCAATCCTCCGTCGGCCATCAATGGTATCAATGCCAAACAGAAAGACCGTCAAACTCAGAAGAAAGGACCGAATGAAATTGACGGGAGGGGCGCTTTGCATCACATCATCGGTCAAGACCGAGTAAGCAAGAACCAACTCGCATTGTCGGTCCGCAAACACTTCAATAGTGCTGGACTTGCAGAGCAGGAGGCCATTGCTCGGTTTCTGTACAAGGTTCGGGAAGAGGGAAGAGGGCGACATTTCCGACTGAGGTTTCAACCTTAGAACGGCATGGATTGCTGTTGTCTCCACGATTTTCGCGCCACACTTTTCTCTTCCTTCTGCAAATAGTGCGCTGCGATTAGAAAGGCCCCGTCATGCGTGCGGCATACAACCTACCACTGTACGGCGTCTGGGTGCTTTCGCCTCGCTATGATCTTGTTTATATTCGGCGTTTCAGGGTCGACATTCGGGATATCCTGAGGTGACTGGGTTGGTGGTCTCGCCATACTTGGGCCATCAGGTCACCTCCCCTACACTCCACCCTCCAGAGGTGCACACATTTTCTCTTCTTGTCGGAAACGGACAGACACTGGCTCGGTTTCCTGCTGTTCTCTCATGATACCCATCAGTGCGACATTACTCACTGCGCTCTTCGTTTATCCTCTCTTCTCTTGCCCTCTTGCTACACCTAATCTCTCCACACCCACATTGATTTTCTCACATGCATATTTGTTGTCCACCTGCAAGCAGGATGACCTGGTATTCTTTGATGAACACTGTGACTCAACTCGGACAGACCTTATTCCACCGCTGCTCTGCTATGCCCCCGCAGGTACATTGTTATCCACTCTTGCCTCCACCATGCTTCTCCGAGGGTGTGTCATATTCCTATCCCATTTTCATCGCAGGCGCCCTGATAGACAGGCTCGCTTACTCTTTTGCTTTATTTTCCCTTTCGGCTCTGCTCCTATGCTTTCATAATCTGCCTCTATTGTATGTATAATAAATCTTAATGAAGCTTGGGAGACCTCCCATCTTTTGCATAAGCAAACACAGATGATGTCGGTATCTACTGAAATTACTACCCGGTCCCATGATAAGGATCATCTATACGCTTTACTGTGTAACGTATCATGTCCAATCAACACCTCTACCCACCAGCACACAAAGAGCCGATCAACCTCCTCCCACCACCCTACAACAAACCCCAGAGAACCAACCCAACTACAAGTTTAGTTAGAAACAGTAGCAGTAAGAATAGCTCCATTGCCTATCCGCGGTAACATAATCCTGCACTAGTAGTCCAGAGTAAAGAGAACCAAGTCCCCCCCCCCTCACAAGCGCACGCTCAATCATCCACGCCCGAGCCTATTCCTGGAATCCCCAAATCAACCACAGATAAAGTTCCCCGGAAATCTTCCCCGAGAAAAAAGCAAAGACAGATTAAACCTATTGCACACTGCGAAGAGTTTTCCAGACACAAGCCAAGATAATCACCAGAAGGGACAAGAAACTCCCCTCACTGCTGTGAGTGGTGCAAGAACAATTCCATCAATATCAGAAGGGTAACACAGACGGGAAATTGAAAATGATGTTCGGATTTGCGTTAAAGCCCTAAGTCCAAATCCACCACATGGGCGCTGCTTGCATCCTGCTCGAGGGAGTTCGTGTTAGCTGATATGAGAGGTTCTTTGGGTGTGTATTGAATCGATGGTGGATGGGTAGGGGGGGACTTACTCGTGGGTTAGTATCTACCTAAGAGGTAAGTAGGTAGGTAGGTAGGTAGGTAGGTAAGGGGAGCAAGTAGCCAAGGATTGGGCAGTCGGTGGTAACACAAAAGTAGAACACGCTGTTTGTAAGCTAAGGCGACTTGCCAGGGCCCAGACACACCCCGGAGTAGCAGATGTCGGTGTGGCAGCAATCCTTGGTGCGGCGGCAGCGACGGTGGCATTTGCGGTCCCGGGTCGACAAGTCGTCGGCCGCGGCGGGGGGCGCGGTGCGGGTTGTCATGGTGGTGGTGGTGTTTGTGTTCGCGGGGTCGGTGGTGTCGTCCGCGATATCGAAGGTATCAGCCTCAGCATTAACCAGAAGGTTCATGTCGTCATCCTCATTGCTATCGAGAGTGTACTCTTCGATGGAGGCGATGTTGATGTCGATACCAGAATCAGGAGAGGACGCATCGACGTCGGTATCTGGGACAGAGGCTGGTTCGGTCACGACATTATCTAAACCGTGATGAAGGACTTAGTTAGACTTGCTTGATGAAGGATACGATGCTTATCAGCTGAGGGTGCTGAGGGACTGTACTGACCACGAGTGTAGAGACTGATGTACCCGTCCAGGGCTTTCTTGATGGAAGCGTGTTCAGTGCAACCGTGCATGCACTTCACATAAGCGAGGATGGATTCGTGGGAGACCTGGTCGTTGTTACTGTCGTTGTCGGTGGCGAGGGCGCAGCCACAGCCTGCCTTGATGGCGGTCGAGGTCACCAGGGTGACCAGGAGGGCGAGCAGCCAGAGAGGGTGGAGCTTCATCTTGTCACGGACGGATGAAGGTGTATTGGGTTGGTGTGAAGGTGCTATTAGATGCTGGGATTGAGGCTTTGTGGATGGGTACAGGTGAGAAGTGGAGGATGAGAAGTTGGGGATGGGTAAAAGGTAGATGGAAGGATGAAGATGAGATTTGAGGATGAGAGGAGGGGAATTTTATAGCCCAACAAGCCAGTCGGAGGTGAAAGGTGAATGGTTCACTTTAAGGATACAGGCCCAGTGAATGAGTGTGAGAAAACCATCCCCATCAGTGATAGCCAGTACTGGGTGGGTGGCTTGGGATTAAGCTTGCATTCACCGAAGCGACATTACGAAGTGGCAGTAAAAAATAATGTAGAACAGGCAGTAGCCTCTATTATCCAAGTTATACAGGCATAGTCTTCGTATATACATACATGCAAGGACTGATCACAGACTGTTTAAAGTCTGGCACCAACACCAGAAAAAGTGCGGCCACACCAGCTCTAAGCCCGCTCGTCTGCAGAACTTCGACACACGTCTAATACCAGCCGAATGGACCGATGCCCATCTTGTTTTCTCGGAGCGGAGTGGTGTTGTTCGAGGGCGGTTGAGCATCGCCGCTTGTTTCCCATGAGTCCACGTCTCGATGCAGAGGGAATGCCAAGGGACGACGACACCCACCCGAGTTGTAGACTCTGCCACAACCGAAATGTCAATTGCTAAATTCAGAAGAAAAGGTTCGTCAAATAGATAGAAGGAAGCCGACTCCAAGCCCATGCTGTCCCTGATGAAACGCCCTGTACGTAACCCAATACTCTGTAGAACATCATCCTGAAGTACTTGCCACATTACGGCAGTAGTCAGGTCGTTCACTCATCCTCCTCGGTCGCCTGGGACTTCTTCTTCGGCTTGGCCGCAAGCTCCTTCTGCCAAATCTCATTGACAGTGGTCTTGTCAAGATCGGCGAACAAGATGTCGAAGACTTCTGAGTACCATCCAACTGCATGGCCTTCAATACCCTTTTTGATATTCTGCAAGAGAGTTAGCGTAGCTGCTCAGTCAGATAAATGCGAGTCAACTTACCTCGGGCAGTTCCAACCAGTCGGACATGTTGTCCGCAGGGAAGATGATCTTCTTAGCTCCGGCACGGCGAGCGGCCACCGTCTTCTCCCGTAGTCCTCCGATGCGCAAGACCTTACCGGTCACCGTGAGTTCACCGGTCATGGCGATGGTCGGGTCCAAAGGGTGGTTCAAAGCCAGGGACAACAAAGACGTCGCCATTGTGATACCGGCAGACGGTCCATCCTTGGGCACTGCACCCTCAGGACAGTGCATGTGCAACTTGGCCTTCTCGAAGAATCGATTCTCAGGGAACTGCTTCGCCATCACAGACTTGGCGAACGAGTATGCGATATGGCTAGACTCTTTCATGACGTTTTGCAGGTTACCGGTAATGTCAATACCAGGTCGGGACTCGGGCGACAGAGCGTTTTCGAGGATGGATTCGACATATAGAGCGGCACCGCCCATGCTGGTCCAGGCGAGACCCATGGTGACACCAGCCGGGAAAGTCTCATACAAACGGTCAGCCCTGAAGACGGGAGGGCCAACGTAGTCAGTCAAGCTGTCCTTGTCAATACTGACACGAACATGCTCAGGGACCTTCAACGCAACTCGGGGTATTTCCGTGGTGGGCTTCTCCGAGTCAACAGAAGCGTTTGCGGAATCAGTCGACTCAGCCTCCTTCTGCGCTTCCGCTTGCGCGGCCTTACCCTCGTCTGTGATTGCTTTTTCTTCGGCGAGAACATCCTCTCCCAGGTCACGGACGATGTTAAAGGCGGCCTTACGGTACACTTTCTCGATCTGCTTCTTCAAGTTACGTACGCCACTTTCACGGCAATATGACTTGATAAGCTCCTCAACCGCATCCTCGGTCAAGGTAACGTCAACCTCCTTCAGACCCGTCAATTCTTTCGCAGCAGGTGCAAGGTAGCGTTGGGCGATAGCCATCTTCTCATCCGCAACGTAGCCGGAGAGCTCAATCAACTCCATGCGATCCAGGAGAGGCCGAGGAATGGTGTCGGTGATGTTTGCGGTACATACGAAAAGAACCTTAGACAAGTCCACTGGGACATCCATGTAGTGATCCAGGAATGATGAGTTCTGCTCGGGATCGAGGAGTTCGAGCAGAGCCGAAGAGGGGTCACCTTGGTGACCATGACCGATCTTGTCGATCTCATCAATCAGGATCAGAGGGTTTTCGGTCTGGCATTTCTTGAGGGCCTGAATGATACGGCCAGGAAGTGCGCCAACATAAGTCCTACGGTGCCCTTTGACCTCAGCAACATCTGTCAAGCCACCAACAGAGAAACGGTAGTACTGCCTGTTCAAGGCACGTGCAATGGACTTTCCAATGCTGGTCTTACCCACACCTGGTGGTCCCACCAGACAGAGAATCTTGCCCTCGACAGTTCCGCGGAGCTTTCCAACGGCAATGAACTCAAGAATGCGGTCTTTGACGTCCTTGAGACCGTGGTGATCTTCATCAAGGACGGTCATCGCATTCTTGATACTGAAATTCTCCACGCTCTTCTGACCCCATGGGATCTGAGTCAACCAATCCAGGTAGTTCCGCGTCACGTTGAACTCGGATGCAGCAGGCTCCAGGTGAGCCAGCTTATTGAGTTCCTCGTCGAACACCTTCTTGATGGCCTCCGGCATTGCGAGCTTCTCCGCTTTATCCTTGAACTTCTCAACCAGCTTGTCTTTACCATCGGACTCGATACCCAACTCCCTCTTGATGCCCTTCATCTGCTCCATGAGCCAGTACTCACGCTGTCGCTTCTGAATCTTGGCCTCAACATCCTTAGAGATCTTCGACTGGAGTTGAGCATTCATGAGCTCCTTCTTCAAGACAACGAGAGCCTTGGGAAGTCGTTCTTCGATGTCCATTAGCTCCAGGACCTCTTGCATTTCGTTGAGTTCACCGGCAGAGACGGCGGCAGCGAAATCGGCTAATTTGGCGGGATCGTCACTTAAATTGCCGGGAAATTGATCGGTGTAAAAGGCAGAGATTTGATCACGGAATAGAGGGTTCAGGCTAGCGATTTCCTTGCAAACGTTGACGATTTCGCTGGTCACGGCGCGAATGATGGCGCTTTTCTTGTCGTAGGCCTGCTCGGCCATATTCTCGACATTGACAAGGCTGACAAGGTACTTTCGCAAAAAGGAGGTTGGTTCGTAGTGGTCCTTGGGGGCGACTTCCGCACTACCCTCCTCGAAACTGGCCACGACATCTCCACGCTTTTCCTGAACCTTTTCCTCTGCTGTGCCTGACTTCGCTGGATCGGTGGGAGGAATGAGGGAGGAGATCTTGATACGACGGTGGGGGTAAAGGACGGCTGTCACACCGCCCGTGTCGCCACGGAGAGGATAGGCCGCGGTAATCTGTGCGAAGACACCGACGTCATAGACATCTTCGAGGTTTTCAATTATATCTCCATCCGCATTCTCATCCTTGAACAGGAAGGCGCCCACATAAGGTTGGCCACGCTTCATCATCTCTTGGATGGCGCTGGCAACGTTGGGGTCCTTGATGGTGATAGCTTTGTAGAAGCCCGGGTAGAGTGGTCGCTTCGCGATGGGAATAGCCATGACCTGAGGATAAATGTCCGGGACCACTGGTTTCTGTAAGGCCTTCTCATTACTGCCCTTCTTGCCCTTCTTGCCGCCATCCTCATTGTCGCCGTTACTGGCGCCGCTAGGCTTAGAGTCCGAGGAGCCACCACTGACAGGTATGGGGGTGGGTTCGTCGGAAGAGCTTCCTTTGCCCTCTGCCAATTTGCCGCTCTTTTTCGACTCCTCTTCCAAGCCGCGTTGCTCCTTGTCGACCGCCGCCTTCTCTTTCCGCCGCCACGTCCCCGATGTCGGAGCTCCGGGTTCTAGTGACGATCCTTGCCTGCTGGAGGAATCGGACGCCTTGCGTCGAGCATCTGAGCGCCGTACAGAGTCCTTCTCCTCCTTGATATCCTTCTGCTCTTTTTGCGTTGTGTCCTCCTTGTCGTCATTTTGTGGGGGCTTCTCTTTCAGACGGATCGAGCTCGAGGAGAAAGGTCGAGTGGAGGATGGAAGGATACGGCCAGCTCGGGCGGCATTCAAAATTGAACGAGCACTGGCATTGTGTCTGGGAGAAGAGAGCAGGGGGCGGAGGATGATAGGACGCGGCGTTTGGTGGAGCGCGGCTCTCCAGGGGAGTGTCTGGCCGCGGAGCATGCTACTGTGTCGACGCGGACGACGCGAGCGGAATAAGACGGGAAAGGAAAGACGAAAGATATGGATTCAAGTACGGTAGCCTGAAGGCCGACCGGGAGAGCGAGTCGTACAGATAGAGATGGAGCTAGGAGAAGGGGGGAGGAAAGAAAGGCGAAAAACCAGGCAAGGTGGTAGAAAAGTAGCTAGATGTACTGCACTGAGTACCGTATGTAGATTGAGGGGGGCGATCGAAGGTCTGTTCGGTCGAGTGATTGATTACCGAAGCAAGCTTTCATCATCGCTGCTGTTCGGAACCTTGTTGTTCCGATCGGGAAACTTTTTCGAGCCGAACGACTCGAAGCTTCCAAACGTCTTCCCCATCAGGAGGCGGTCGATGCTTCAAGAAAGGTCCCCGGTGGTTCTTCTTCTTTTCTCAAATCAGCTTCCGCCAATTCAAATTTCTCTGTCTCCTGCCCTCCTTACCCCGTCGTTGCGTTTTGTTTGATGCTTACCTGTCTTCCACAATGAACACTGCATCTGCCGCTATGCCCAAAGCCGCGGCTCTCCCCGCTCGTTTACTGCGGACTTCGCGGCAATACTCCAAGCAGAGTCCCTCCACCACCATTCGGTCCTCAACCCCGGCCCGGACCTATCATGCCTCTACTGCTTCTTCAGGCAATAAGCGCTTGCGCGATGGTGCCTACAGCAGAAAGCAATCTGCATTTCCTACAACAAGGGTAAGTTGTCCGGGGCATTAACCGGCCAAGTCCCGCGAAAGATTGGACTGCGAACTAACATGAATCCCCCTTTGCTTGCAGACTTTCCATACAACTGCCCCGCTTGCGGCTGTCTCCGATCCTTACAAAGTCCTAGGAGTCGACAAAAGCGCTTCTGCGTCAGAGATCAAGAAGGCTTACTATGGAATGGCGAAGAAATATCACCCGGATACGAACAAGGAACCCGACGCGAAAGAAAAGTTCGCAGAGGCGCAAACGGCATACGAGCTTTTGTCCGACCCTAAGAAACGCGAAAACTATGACCGCTTTGGCTCCGCTGCTTTTGACCAGAACGGGGGCTTCGACCCTAGCGGCGGCAACCCATTCGGTGGCGGCAACCCGTTTGCTGGCGCCGGAGGCTTTCATGGATTTGGTGGTGGCTTCGGTGGAGGCTTCTCAGCCGATATCAACTTCGAAGATCTTTTTGGCGCTTTCACCGGTGGCGCTCGGCGATCTGGTCGGGGCCGCCGGGGACCCTTCCAGGAGGTTCTTGTCGGTGAAGATATTGAGGTCCAGACCAGTATCTCCTTCATGGAGGCCGCGAAGGGCACTTCGAAGGACATTGTGATCACTCCCTTGAAAGAGTGCGACACCTGCAGCGGTGAGGGATTGAAGAAGGGTGCCAAACGCTCGCAGTGTCGTCAGTGCAACGGATCCGGCACCCGAGTACACATGATGCAGGGTGGTTTCCAGGTGGCAGCTACTTGTGACGCTTGTGGTGGGCTGGGCAAGACTGTCCCCCGAGGATCTGAGTGTGGGTCTTGTAAGGGCAACGGAGTGGTTAGGGACAAGAAGACCGTCCAGGTGGATATCCCGGGAGGTGTCGAGGACGGCATGCGTCTGAGAATCTCCGGGGAAGGTGATGCCCCGCCCACTGGTACTGCAGCTCCTGCAGGCTCCCGTACGCAACGCGGTGATCTATATGTGTCCATTCGAGTGGCGCCTGATCACCGATTCAGCCGCGCTGGATCCGACATCCTCTACACAGCTTCCATTCCTCTCACCACCGCTCTACTGGGTGGCGAAGTGAAGGTGCCTACCCTGGATGGCGAGGTCAAGGTCAAGGTTGGCACGGGTACTGGCACCGGCGACCGTATTACTTTGTCTGGTATGGGCATGAAGAAGTTGGGTGGTCGAAGCCGCAACTTGAGCCCCACAGGTGACCTCAAGGTTGAATTTAAGGTTGCCATGCCCAAGTACTTGACCAGTAACCAGCGAACGATTCTTGAGGTTCTTGCGGACGAGATGGGTGATACAACTGCCAAGCGTATTATGGATCTTCCCAAGGACAAGGATGGGTGAGCATATTCTTGATTGGATTTGACTGCTTTTCCGTTCACTTTCCTCTGACCATCTCTCAGTGCCCCGTCTAGCCCAAGCGCCTCGACTGACGACTCCAAGCATCCGGGCTTTCTCAAGTCCGCTTGGCAAAAGCTTATGAACCACTCTGATGCGAGCAAGAAAGACAATGGCGATGCCCACAAGTCCGACGGTGATAAGAAGTCGGGCTCGAACTGAAACGCGCAACGCCAGCTGAACGTGATGTATAATCGATATTCCCAAGGTCTTGGTCCCGGACGACCTCCCTCCTTCGTTTCTTACCTGTATTTATTTCGGACGATATCATAGCGCCGGCGACACTGGGGGTTTCTTGAGCTATTCTGCATGTTGGGATGATTTCCATGCCAGTTTCTATATATTTTGTTATTTTTGGATGCGTGTTGATCAGTGGGTGGATAGAACAATTGTCCAAGTGTATGTAACTTGATGTATGTACGATTAGAAAAATCATATCAGACCTCTCTCCCTTCCATACATACAAACATCGAATATTCAATGGGTGGGGACGGGAGATTGAGGGGATCAAATTGGGAGTCGGAATTGAGAGGGTGTGGTTTGTCAGGTTATCCCGCCGCGGGCGGGTGAGTGTGCTGCCTGTTTTGTTCGTCACGACGGGCGGTTAGACTGGAGACCAATCCATCCATCCCCATCCTCCCATTATTACCACAATAACACTCCATAACTTAAATCTTCTGTCAATTTCCCCTTTTCTTACTCACTTTTCACCTTATGATGTGATCGTCGGTGGATGTGACCGATAATTGTTTCTTTCTTGCGAGTTCACCTGGATATAACCCTTTGACTGCTTTGAGTGTTGCTACGGAAAGCTGTTGTCAGTTATTTACAATAGTCGAAGCACCACCCCCTCCACTCCATCCCGAGTCCTCCCTCCTCCGCTTCACCGCCGTCGTCATCGGGCGGTCTTACTGCCCGTGTGTGCTGCCTGGCATTCCATCCCCATCCCATCCCAATCGAACTAATCTCGACATCCCTACCAGCCACCATATCTGTTTCCTTCTCCGAAAAAACAACTGGACTTTACCCCACAGTCCCGCCCATTTCCGTCTATCATTCTTCGCCTCCATCACCGCCCCCCCCCCCCCCCCCCCCCCCCATCGCCCCCATTGACAGATACCTTCTTGTCTATTCTCGCCCTGCTTCCCCTCGCCTTTCGCTCTCCGTCTCTTCTCCGCCTTTAATGGGAGCTCCCCGCTCCTGCATATGAGCAAGATGGTTCAGTCGCCCATGATCTCGTGTCCGCTGAAGCAGACCAACGAAATCGATTGGATTCGACCCCTGAAGGACTACATTCGTCAAAGTTATGGTGAAGATCCTGATCGCTACAGTCAAGAATGTGCCACTCTCAACCGCTTGCGCCAGGACATGAGGGGCGCGGGGAAAGACAGCGCGACGGGTCGCGACTTACTGTATCGCTACTATGGTCAACTGGAGCTGCTGGATTTGCGGTTCCCAGTGGATGAGAACCATATTAAGATATCCTTTACCTGGTACGCAATGCGAAATTGGACTTCCGCTATTCCCAATTCCCTGTCGGGCGTCTACTAAAACACTGCCACAATGTTTACCAGGTACGATGCTTTCACTCATAAACCCACTTCTCAGTACTCTCTCGCCTATGAAAAGGCCTCCATCATCTTCAATATCTCCGCCGTGCTTTCTTGTCATGCGGCCAACCAGAATCGCGCCGAGGACACAGGCCTCAAGACTGCCTATCACTCCTTCCAGGCCTCTGCTGGCATGTTCACCTATATCAACGAGAATTTCCTCCATGCGCCCTCGACCGATCTGAACCGGGAGACCGTCAAGGCTTTGATCCACATTACTCTCGCGCAGGGCCAGGAAGTATTCTTGGAGAAACAGATTGCGGACAACAAGAAGGCTGGGCTGCTGGCGAAACTGGCCAGCCAGTCGGCCTACCTCTACTCTCAGGCCGCCGAGGCGATCCAAGAGTTTTGCAAGGGGGTCTTTGATAAAGTCTGGTTAATCGTCGTTCAGACCAAAGCGGCTCACATGGCCTCCGTCGCATCGTACTACCAGGCCCTCGCAGACAGTGAAAGTGGATCCCATGGTGTGGCCATTGCTCGACTGCAATTCGCGGAAAAGAACTCGACAGCAGCGATGGGATGGGCAAAGTCATTCCCGTCATCGGTGTCGCCGAACACAAACTTAAGCTCAGAATCAGGCACAAACCTGCTTGACGTTGTCAAGTTCCACCTAGCTAATGTACAGGCCAAGCTTACGGTATTCAAGAAGGACAATGATTTCATCTACCACCAACCCGTTCCCAGCGAAGCAGGCCTGTCTGCAGTCGCAAAATTACCAGCGGCAAAGGCGATTCCAGTCAGCGAACTCTATCAAGGCCAGGACATTCAGCGAATCATCGGCCCGGACATTTTCCAGAAATTAGTTCCCATGTCCGTCACCGAGACAGCCAGTCTCTACGACGAAGAAAAGGCCAAGCTTATCCGGGCCGAGACCGAAAAGGTCGAAATAGCCAATGGGGAAATGGCTGCTAGTCTGGATTATCTTAAACTTCCCGGAAGCCTTAATATCCTCAAAGGCGGGATGGATCAAGAAATGGAGGTTGATGAAGAGTTCAGAAGATGGTGTCAGGAACTTGCTGGTCATCAGCCTTTCATCAAAGCGCTTGATGAATTACAGGACCGCAAATCGGAGATCCTCGGACAACTGGACCAATGCTCCAAGAAGCTCGACTTGGAAGAAAGCGTGTGCGAAAAGATGCGCTCCAAATATGGTGCCGATTGGAGTCAGCAGCCGAGCGCAAGGCTCAACACTACCCTTCGTGGAGACATCCGGACATACCGCGACACTATCAACGAGGCTAGCGCAAGTGACGCCCAACTGCTGTCTACACTACGGCAGTATGAGGCTGATTTCGATGAAATGCGCTCTGCAGGAGAAACCGATGAAGCTGACGTCCTCTTCCAGCGTGCCATGATCAAAGCTGGGTCGAAACACGGCAAGGGAAAGAATGGGCTTGGAAGCCCCTACGCCCCCACGCCGGAGGGTAACCTGCTAGATGATGTTTACGACGAAAGCAGCCCCTCTGTATCGGAGCAGATCGCTCGGGTCGAGGCCATCTTGAAGAAGCTGAATCTAGTCAAGAGGGAGCGATCTCAAGTTTTGAAGGATTTGAAGGAAAAGGTAAGTCATCATTGATAGCTGACCCAATGCACCGGAGCTAAAATTCTTTCACAGGTTCACAACGATGACATATCTAATGTCCTGATTCTCAACAAGAAATCGATCACTGGGCAAGAAAACCAGCTCTTCGAGGCTGAACTGGAGAAATTCCGTCCGCATCAGAATAGGTTGCTTCAGGCCAATCATAAGCAAGCCTCACTCATGAAAGAGCTGACCAAGATCTACGGGGATCTGCTCCAAGATAAGCGAGTGAGATCCGAGCAGTCGAAGTATGAAGCCATCACACGTCAACGCAACACGGTCATGGCTCGATACAAGAAAGTGTATGATGCTTTCAATGGTCTGCTTTCGGGAACAGTTCAAGCCCAGACTTTCTACACTGAGATGGCCGAGACGGTGGAAAATCTGAAGAAAAACGTCGAAGCCTTTATCAACAACCGTCGATCTGAGGGAGCCCAGCTACTTGGACAGATTGAACGCGAGCGAGCGAGCAGTGCCACAGAACAGGAGGATCGCGAGCGGGAGAAATTGCGGCAGTTGATGGAACGACTGTCAACTGAGCCAAAGACATCCACACCTGCACCGCCTTCAGCAGGGGCAATGGCCCCCCCACCCCCATCCAAGGCCAAGTCACCGCCCCCAGCGGTGCAGACGCCTGCTTACAACCCGTCTCTCGCCTCGCCGAAGAACTCACCAGCATTTCCTCCCGGGCAACAGCATGGCGTTCCTTTGTCTCATTCTCCATCTCCCTATGGGCAGTACATGACCCATGGTGCTGCTGGCATGCCTTACCATCCCGGGCAACCATACCAGCAGGGAGCAGCAGCACCTTTGTCGGAGGGTTACAATCCCATGGCCTATCCTGTTCCACCGGCCGCTTCGCCGCCTCCAGCCCAGCAATTCTACTCCTCTACCCCTACCCCATTTAGCAGCTACAGCGGGCCCACTCCTCCTGCAGCCCCGTCTGCTTTCTTACCACAGGGCTACGTTCCGCCACCTCCGCCACCTCGACCTCAACAGACAAACTACTCTACGAGCTCCGGTCCCTTTCCCTCCGGCCCTGGCGGCTACGCTCAAAGCCGGCCGTACGGCGCAAGTCAACATCACAAGGCTCCGTCGCAGTCGTCACAGTCACAGGGGCAATCGAGCTCATCGACTGATCCCTGGGCCGGACTCAACGCTTGGAAATAAGACGCCCTGCTCTCTTTCCTAGTTGATATATCGATGGACGGGTCATGAAGTATGATAGACGCATGGAACGAATCACTGAAGTATCTTGCATTAGGGCGTTTTCATCTCTGCAGTCGTGTCGAATTCATTTTGTTTGCTTGTCCCCATTAGTATTGGTTTTCATCTCTGATTTGTGAATCCCATTTTTCGTTAATACTACTGCCCCCGTTTTTGAAATCTCATCGTGTCGCTTCGTGGGACCATCGCGGTCTTTATCTACTCCTGCTACTTGTTCTTTGTTGACATCAGGCGGACATGACTCTAGCCATGCAGCGGTTATAAAACGAATCATCTGCTTCTGCATGTACTCAAGGAAGTATGAAAGCACATCACGCACGATAACACGCGAACCTCGAGCTTTGGTCATCGACCGTGTTGCCTGAAGCTAGAATGGGACTTCCTACTACTAACCTATATCACATACACCCACTTACTCCACGCTCAATCAGTACCTTTGCCATCCGAAATCAACTTCCGAGCCCATCCGCAGAATCAGCTGGAGCACCTCCCCTCTCTACTATTCTGTCTATTAACAGCATCCAGCTGGAAGTCTTCAAGCCCCCCCTGAGCCTGAAAAAGAAAAGAGAGTAACCCGTAGGCAGACGTGCGTACGGTTTTAAATCCCAGCAGTTGGGATTCAATTCACATGGGGCCTGGCCTACCCCAGCTTCCCTGGTAGCTAGCTGTGCTGTGCTGTGCTGTACCTGGGTAGGTAGGTAGATACTTGGTGTTGCACCAATGAAGTCATTGGACGGCATTGGGGGGTCGGGGGGGGGGGGTTTCCCCTCCGCTGCTTTTATCTCCCTCAAGGCGTGTGGTATTATTTCTGTGCTGGGGTACTGCATGTATCCCCACGACGTGGATTGTGGTGTTATACATACATACCGTAGTTGGGTGTTGGTCGCTTTTATACTGGTTTATGGACTGGACTGTACTCTACTGTACACTTACACTTGATTGTACTCTTACTTCGATGGTTTATGTACTGCATACTTTACCTAGCATAGGCCACATCGGCGACAACGAGAGAACTGGCAAACTGGGACTGGGTTGTTCGATAATGGAAGCCAAAAAAAAAAAAAGAAAACGAATCATGTTCGATGTAGGCCATCACGTAAAGTGCTGTACATGTACACTACCACTGGAAAACGTTCCATGCAACAGGGAAGTATACATATGCAGGTGAAAAGGAGGGGAGGGGAGGGCTCTAGTTGCCATTATTGGAGGTATAGTGTAGTGTGATCCGGGATTCTCCGCGAGGGGGCTTATCGGGGAAGGGTGAGAGGTTTGATGTAAGGTAGGCCAGGCGAGGGTAGCGTAGCTCGGATCGTTTGGTGGCTTCTGGGTTTCTGAGTTCTGAGTGGAGTGGTGAGTGACTCGGATGGGGGGCTATATGGATAATTATAGAGAGTTACTGTGCTGAGGTGGATTCGTTGATGAGGTAAGGCTGTGTTGTCGCTCTATAGAGTGGGTAGAAGAGGGGGGGGGGGATAGATACATAGGCAAAGGAGGGGGAAAGTGGGAGGGGAGTAACCTGCATGGTTCTATAAGGGTACTTGCTTTACTACCTTATCCCTACTTACTTCTCCATAGTTAGTCAGTCTATACTTACCTATAAGCTTCAGAAGTATTAAGAAATAGAAATTGAAGTCACGGGTAAGCTGGAGGTCCAGTAGGTTATGGAACTGCCCGGGAGCCTGAACTGGAGGAGAGTGATTGGCTGCATCATCCTGGCCGGCGATTGCACGAGAAGTTTGCAGTTCGGGTTTCCCCTTATCTGAGTGGAAGCTTCACTTTCTAACAACTAGATGAAAGTCTAAACCAATCCTGAGCATTAGTGGTTGATGGAGAAGGCAGCATTTCCTCTTGTTTTGTTTCTTTTCTTGTTTGCTGTATGTAGGTGACGATGATGACGAGGTATACTCAAGTTGGGAAACCGGCCGTTTGAAGTATAAAGACGAACCATCGTCACTTATCTTTGCCGGGCGATTGGATCCAGGTGTACAGTACGGGGCCATACAGAGAAGCTCTATCTTCTGCCCTGCCAGGTGCATGCCCGCACCCACTCCCCGAGCGGCTGGTTGTTTGTACAGCGTGGCTGGTTCCAAGCTGGTCTGCGCGATACGCTCGGGTACCCTGGAAATCCCAGGAGGTGGGTGGTATTGCGATATGGTCCGCATTTTTCGTCATTGCGATTAGTTCTGATAGTGTCAACCTGAACCTGAACGTTGTAGTCGGAAATGTGATGGTTGGATTGGGGCGGGGGAAGTGGGAGGGAGGGGGAGGATCGAGTCCGTTCCGGACTAGACAAAAGGAGCCAGGCGGGATGGATGTCAAGAAGAATATAACAATCATGTATTCTGATTTTGGATGATCGGAGAAATCGGGGCGAGGAACGAGCGAACGGGGACAGGCTTCGAGAAGGAAGTTGGGCTGTGCGTCTGCAGTAGTTCGGATGCCGTGCGATGGGATGAAGAATTGAGGCTATCGTCGTTCTCCTTTCTTTACCTCTCGGTTGAGGCTGCCGTGGATGTTTACTACTTATTATCAGTCAGGCAGGCACGGTCTGTCAGGCCGCCGTGCAGTTTAAGCAGCTCATTGGATCTCAGATTCGTTGCATTTCAGTATAATCGGTTTAGTTTGTGAGTTTAGTTTACTCTAGTTTAATTTACTGGGTAGGTGTAGTATAGTTAGTAGAGTGACTTCATAGCAAGCAACCAAGTACTCCGTACCCCGTAGTAATCAACTAAGCTAAGTTAATGGATGATTGTTCTATGTGATGTTCTATCACCCTTCCACTTCCTATTTCTTATAGGTGGTGGAAATTGTTTCTGTCCTGCTCTCCTTCTCCATTTCCCATTTCACCTGCAGGCGTTTATTCAATTTAATTCTATCCTTTCCAGTCATTCATACCTCGACTGATTTCTCTGTTCGTTTCTCTAGTTCAACCACTCAGCCCATTCATCTTCTCCTCTCCAATCCTTCAAGTTTGGCCTTCTCTTCCTTTCATCTCTTGTTGCAAATCTCAGCCCAACCAGCCTGAGACTGCCTGCCGGGCTACAATCGACTAGTCTGTCTTGCTGGTTCTCTGGCGGTTTTCCTTTCTCGTCATCCTCTTTTCCCCCTCCCCTTCGTCTTCATTTGCTCCGGGTCTCTCCATACTTGGTGTATCTGATCACATTGTCACCTCCTCTACCTTTGATTCTCACTAGCAAAAACCACTGCGACAGGAACCAACACCTACGATCGCCATCATCATCACCATCACCATCACCATCGCCATCATCGTCATTCATTCCACCACCCTTGACAACATTGTGTGACCACTCAGTGGGACTGGGCAAAAGCAGCGCCTACCTTAGCCAGCAACCCAAATTCACACCGACTTCTCCAGGGTGATCATTTTTCGTATTTATCTATCATTTCTACTACCGGTACTCTATTTGATTTATTCATATGATTCATAGCTACATGGAAAAATTTTCTATATCTCCTCAATCCCGTTTCATAAATCAGTTGCCCTGCAGTCCATTGGTGTTTTTCCTCCCTTCAACCGCACTGTGAAATTCTGGTGGTGGTCTTTTGCTTTTTGGCCCCTGGTTTCTTTTTTTTTTAACCCTCTGCGCCCTGCCACCCGCCGATTTTCTCTCTTCTTTCCTCCGTATCTGCTCTTATTTGTTGACTCATTACCCGTGCATAACTTGAGAGTGTGGGTGAGAACAGTCACAGCTGCTGGTCGCCAGAGATCCTGTCGGCAATTCTTATGGACAACACGGTCCCAACCCCTCAGGTGTCTCAGTCGTTCTCTGTACGACCGATTAGCGACCGTGCCGTGCCGGATGGCTGTCTCGATTGCAGACAGTTCCTGTAGTCCGATGATGAGTTCGTTGGGATTGTTGCTGGAGGAAAAGGCCGACCCTCCACGTCCCAAGCAGAATATGTGGCATCGCCTGGGTCTACGGCGATGGCTGGGCCGCGATGATCGAGACCTTTCGTCCCAATCTTCCCCCGCAGGCAACAATAATGGGTCCCCCACTGCGAAACAACCCAATTCACCGGCCGCCCACAATAGCCATTCCCATCACCACCACCACAATAACCATGACGCAAAGTCCTCCCCCCCTCGTCCAAGCAGGCCCCACGATAATCTCACTCGGCGGCTGTCCCGCAAGGTTGGTGTGGGATTGCCTCGGGCAACAACATTCAAACGACAGAATTCCGAGCGACGCGACCGGCTGTCCCCAACTGAACTTGAACCCCGTCGGACAGTGTCCGCCGACCGACGTCGTCCCCTGAGTTCTCAGTCCCAGCGAACTACGCGATCCCCACCGCCCACCCTGGACCCCAGATTGTCCGCTCCCGAGGTTCAGTGGCGCGAAGACCCGAACGAGCCCACGGTTGACCCCCGGAGCGAGACGAATGAGGATAACGAGATCCGCTCGGGATGGAACCCCAACCCCTACCCTGACATGACAGATGTTCCCGAGGAGCCACCAACCGAGACTCTCGAGATGGAGCTGGAAAAGCGTTGGATTCTGAATTTGAGCATGCACTTTCGGGATCGCTCCGAACGAGAAAAGTTCTTCGTTACTTATGCAGAGACGCCTAACCGTTGGCGGAGAGTCACCATATCCTGCGACTATCGCGGTGCGCCGCTCGATTCCCTGGAGCAGGACCTCCGCGAGCTACGCTACCAACGCGACAAGTGTGCACGCATCTACGAATCTCTCCGCGAATCATTGCCAGAGATACAATTCTATGACACCGTCACCAACCTGAAACTGGAGACTCGAGACGGTCGGCTGCATGTGCACGTCACCGAGGATGTGAACGAGATAATCCCTTACCCGCCGGTTTCTTGTACTGGACACTTACCAGAAGCACGACTAGTTCGCGAAAGCCAACTACATTTCGAGTCACATTTGTCGGGATTCGTATACAATGTGCAGCTGGATGGCAAGACATTCATCAAAAAGGAGATTCCTGGCCCCGACACGGTAGACGAATTTCTATACGAGATTAACGCCCTTCATGCCTTGCAGGGAATCCCGGATGTTGTCCAGGTGGAGGGAGTTGTGGTTGATGATGACGAAGAGAATGTAAAAGGATTGCTTATCGGTTTCGCCGAGAAGGGTGCGTTGGTTGATCTTCTCTATGAGAACCGGGGTACGATATCATGGGAACGCCGGGAGCGCTGGGCACGACAGATTGTCCGTGGACTGTGCGAGATTCATGAAGCTGGCTACGTTCAGGGAGACTTCACTTTGTCCAACATTGTGGTGGATGCTAACGACAACGCCAAGATCATTGATATCAATCGCCGGGGTTGCCCGGTAGGGTGGGAGCCCCCAGAGATCGCCGCCAAGATCGAGAGTAATCAGCGGATATCCATGTATATTGGGGTGAAGACCGACATCTTCCAGTTGGGAATGACTCTATGGGCCTTGGCAATGGAGGAGGATGAGCCGGAGCGTCAGCCACGGCCTCTGATGCTAGGCGAAGATGTGGATGTGCCTGACTACTACCGCAGGCTAGTCTCGATCTGTCTGAGCCCCATTCCTCGACATCGACTATCAGCAAAAGAACTGCTGGGTCTGTTTCCACGCGAGCGAGGAGCGATGGCCTCGACTATTTCCCGCATGCCTCCCACTCACACTGGTCTTGGTGTAGCGTTGCACAATAGCACTCTGCCGATGTACGACGTCCGAGCGACATTTCTGCCTCAACAACGTCCCCCGATGGATAGCGGCAGCTATATCTATGACGGTCGCACGTACTTGCAGGATGCAAACGGACGGTTCGGTCTTTCGCCGGGCAGCGAGCAGGACGCTGCGCATAGAAATTGGGAGCAGCCTTCTTTACAAGACGACAAGGCTGCTGAGAGTAGCCCAGCACCATTAGAGCATCGGAGGTCAAGTGGATATGCATATTCAGGCTCAACTGCAGCAGGAGTTTTGAACCCAACGACCTTCGTGAACGGCCAAGAGTCCTATGGCACCACTCTTCGAGGACTGGATGAGAACGACTTGGGCTTCGACCCGGGAATTGACGAATGCCATCGCAAGTACACAATAGAACATGCGGATGATGTGCCTTCGGATACGGCCCACCTGTTTCGTGAACTCGATGAGGTTGATTGTAACTCGGCCTACTCGCTGAAGCCTCATTCAGTAAACACCTTGTCTGAGAACGGGAGGCTGCAAGAGTCTCCGATCTCGTCGGCAGCCACACAATCGACTGATCTGTATCCGGCCCCATTGGCAGATCTCGGACATGCTCTCATGGACGACCCGGATTGGTCCGTACAAGAATCGTCGCGCTCAGTCTCTTCTCTCATGCATTCGATTCTACCTATCAACCCCGCGATCAAGTCCCGCGAGGCGAAGAAGTTGGACGCTGAGACTGATCGATATTCCCCCATCAGCATTCGTTCCGCCCTGGGATATGCTCCTCGCCAGAGCCTACACGAACCAACCAATTACCTATGCGACTCCCATTTACCAATCAACCCAGCACTCGAAGAAGAGACATCGGCGTGTGTATGACACGTAAACGGCGAACTGCATCTAGAAAAGTCCTTCACAGGAAAAACACGAGTATGTTTCCAGCCATGTTTGTGGGTCCCAGATGCGAGACCCAACAGTGCGCGATACCCCTAGCGATTTGGCACTGTAAATTTACCTTAATTTCAAGCGATCTTTCGATACTTGCTTTTTTTTTTTCTTTCTAGCGGCACATGGCGCAATGGAGTTGCCACGTTATTTTCGGCTAACCTGATTTGTTGGGTGTGGTCTATACCGCTTGCCAGGTGATCGGTGGACATTCCTTCAATTCGCCCGGCTTCTCTTTTGATCATGAGATACTTCTCTACCAGATACGACAGAACCTGACAGCAGCTTCAGAATCTTGGGTGGAGTTTGGTGTTTTGTCTTTGCATTTCTTTTCATGACTAACGACCAGACGGCTGACTATTGTTTTGGGTTTACCTTTGCTGCGCCAGTTGAGGCCGTTTATGTACAGTGGTTCTTCATAACCTTCCAGTAACAACTGTATTACTCTGAAAATGAATTTAGTGGTGTTGTTCTTTCTTTCGTGGTATCATTCCCTCATTTCCCGTCTCGCTTGAGGTATTCCTCGAAGTTGCGCTGCCATGGAAGCGCGTCTGGCCCCAGTCCCCACCCGATCAGCACAATCTTGCACTGCGTCTTGGAGTCCTCCGCAGGCTCGGCATCCCGGATCTCAAACACGTCCCGCACGGCCTGAATGATCCGTGTCGTTCCATCCTCGATCGCGAGGATGCCCTTCAGCCGATGAATATCAAAGTCCAGCTTGGGGGTTTGCGCCTCCCGCCCAGCGATAGCCGGGAGCTTCGAGTCCCACAGAACCGAGCGCAGCCACTCATCGACGAGGGGGACTTGCGCCGGAGTGATTTGGCCGGTTGTAAGTGCGATGGTGGAAATTGCCTGTTCACCATTGGAATCGACACATCAAGGATAAAGTCAGTCACGTTTCTCCCGGCAAGTTAACAGAAGAAAGTAGCAGGGCAGAAACTGACCGGATCGATATGACTATGCCCCTTCTGGGCGAACTCGACCGCCCCATCGTCGAGGTGGTCGTACGCGTGCAGATCCAGCACCACGCCCTCGATCCGCGGCGTCTGACTGTGGTCCGTGACGTGGATGCGGGCGGCGCTGTTGATGGCGACGATGCGGTCGCGGACGCGCGCGAGTTCGGCCGCGGTGACCAGGTCAGCTTTGTTGAGGACGATCACGTCGGCGTGGGAGATTTGCATGTGCGCCATGGAGAGGACAGGGCTGTTTGCGGGGTGGTCGTGGTCGTGGTCGTGGCTTTTATCGGATGTGGTGGTAGCGTGGCTGGACACCGTCTCCTCCGGGGTCGGCGCGTCTAGCAGATGCAGGATGTTCTTCGCGTCGACGAGGGTGACGATCCCGTCGAGGTAGATGCTGCTGCCCAGGTTGTCGTCGACCCAGAAGATCGGGGCGATGTTGCCCGGATCGGCGAGGCCGGTGGTTTCGAGGAGGATGTAGTCGAAGGTGCCCCGTCGGGCCATGAGGGATTCGATGGCCATTACGCCGGAGTCTCTGGTTTTTGGGATTAGTATCTTTGTTTGGGGTGGGGAGGGGAGAGGGCTGGGATGGGGCAGAGGAGGGATGAGTGTTACTTTACGGAGCAACAGATGCAGCCATTCCCCACTTCCATCCATTCGGTCACCTCTTGACCATCTTGGTTGATCGTGAGGGGCTTTTCGATATCGGTGGCTTTTTTGCGGTGTGTATCAGCCAAAGATGTCAAAGTTCCAAGCACCAGGGACTGAGGTGGTGTAGCACATGACCTTTTGAGATCTTAACTTACAATCTCCGAATTCTACTTGAGCTTAGTATATACCTTCCAAACATGTCTGGAGCTAAGGACTAGAAGACAAAAATGACTGACCATTCATGATCACGGCGATCTTCTTGCCATGCTTCTCGGTAAGAATGTAGTTCAGGAGGGTGGTTTTGCCGGCTCCTAGGTAGCCTTGATGATTTGATGACGAGGATTAGATTCTACAGGGTTCTATTTTGTTTGTTCGTCCCTACTACTCTTGGAAGTAGAGGTACGTAAAACGGATTGCGGCGCGCGCATCATACCAGTCACAAGCGTGATGGGCACGCGGGCTTGAGCCTCCGGGGTGTCCTCTGACGTCGATGGCGCTGATTCTGGCAGTTGGGATACATCCACCAACTGGGGAGGGGCGTCTTCGTCGTCCATGTTGTGAAGTGATGTTGGTGTTGTTATTGTTGTTGTAGTTGTAGGTGTTGGTCTTTGCGGAGATATAAAATATGGACTTAGATATAGTATGTATGTAGTAGCAGTAGTAGAAGTAAAGCCGGGGATGAATGGTTCCGGGAATGACGTTTTCCCCCATGAGGCCAGACCCTAGGGCTTAGGGCAAAAGGCGGTCCGTTGGGCGGTGATGGACGGCGGTGGACGGCGGCGGCTGGAACTTTCTTTCCCGCGCGGCATCTTATCTAACTCTTAGCGGCTTGTTTATCGACCCCCGTCGGACCTTGCAGTGCTGTCGTCTCGCCTACCTAATCTTCTTCCTCCTCCTCCTTCCCCCCCCCCCCCCCCCCGCCCCCCCCCCAGCTGGCTGGAATACTACTCTCTCATTCGCTTTTCTTCTGAACCACTCCATTCCTTCTTTCAGTTTCACTCCTTTTTCTTTCTGACCCGTCATGGCTACTGCGGGAGTTTCGCAAGCCAGCTCCCCACGTTTACCCAGTCCGCCCCCGTTTACTGAGGTGCAGATCGGGCCCAAATCACCCTCGGTCGGCGAGTCCTTCGACTCCGAGACGGAGCAATTGCTGGGCGCTTCGCAATTTGCCGAGGATGGCTCAACTCGCCGCATTCGCCCGGGCACTCGAGCCATCGATATGGCCTTTGGTCCGCCGTTGATCCCTCTTTCACAGGTATGGAATGAGTTTTGCCAACCGGGTTTGGTCGCGAGACTGCTTATTTTCCCTCCTGCTGACCCCCAGCCTCCTTTGCCTCGGCTCTGTAGCTCGACTCCCCCTTCCAACTTCAGGAACACCTCAAGGCCCTGTATAACCACTTCACGCGACCCGAGGGCTCCGATACCATTATTCCCATCAGCCGCGATGTTGCGATCCAGCTGGCGGAGCCCCCGGAGGGCGTCGACCGCTCGCTCTGGCTGTACGAGCTCTGCCGCTTCCTGACGATGAAAGTCAACAACCTCATCGTCGCCTTCTTCGCCGACTCCCCCCCTTGCTCCGCGCAGACCTGCCCGGAAATGCGGGCCTCCGAGTGGCAGTACCTCTGCGCCGTCCACGACCCGCCCAAGGCCTGCTGCGCCATCGACTACTGCTGCCACACCCTCGACTGGGCGACCAACATCCTCACTTCGCCCAAATACTTCCCCAGTCGCCTGACGCTGGGCGCGGAGGGCGGCGGCGGCGCCCAGGCGAGCATGCGGCACCTGACGAACATCTTCCGCCGGCTGTATCGCATCTTTGCGCATGCGTGGTTCCAGCACCGGGAGGTGTTCTGGCAGGTGGAAGGCCACGATGGACTCTATATCTTTTTCAAGACCGTCTGTGACATGTACAGTCTGATTCCGGAGGATAATTACACGGTGCCTGCCGAGGCGGAGGGGTTGGATACTGTTCAGCAGCAGCCGGCGGCTGCGGCAGCGGCGGGGGCCACGACGGGGTTGGAGCATGGGGATGGACGGAGGGTGACGATCTTGCGGAAGGAGAACGAGCCGTTCCCGGTGAGTATGGAGCCCGCGTCGATCAGTACGGGCGCCACCACGAGGCGGCACAAGGGCAGCTCGTCGATCAGCTCTGGGGTGACGACCATCAATGAGAGTGCTGAGGACGATGATCAGCCGAAGCAGCAGGCTGTGGCCGCGGCTACTGCCGCAGTGGCCGCCGCCGCCGCTGCCGCCGCTGCCGGCGGTCAGAGCAAGCCTCAGCCGGCACCGCCAGCTACTGAAGAGCCCAAGCAGGTTGCTGAGCAGACGTCACCCGGTAGCCCTGCATCGCAAGTCACTGTTGCAGAGGTACGCGCGGATGAACCAGAGACCGCACCACAAACCGAGACTGAGGCTGAGCCTGAGCCTGAGGCCGAGCTCGAGAGCAAGGCCGAGAAGAACGCTGAAGCTGAAGCTGAAGCTGTGCCGGAAGCTGCGGAGGAGGAGCAGCCAAAGGAGGCCGAAGTAGAGGCGAAGGATTGCGCGGAAGAAGCTCCGACGGAGGAAACCTCGACAGAAGAAGCGACAGCAGCTGACGAGTTGTCTACTGAGACCACAGAGGCCGAGCCGGCGCAGAAGGAGTAAAGGTACGGCTGCGCGTTTGTTTCCGTTTTCATGTGATGCCTTGTGTCTATACCACGGTTTGTAATTTGTGTGATTTTGGATCCGAGGGAGGTGGGAAAGCGATGTAATATACGAACTCGAGCGAGAATTAATGATACCCTAATGGTGTTGTATTTGTTCTGGGAGGCGAGTAGAGTAGATGTATAGGTAGATAGAGATGTGGTAAACTCCGGCTAAATCCGGCGACGGGGCTGCCCTTTTTTTGGGGGGCATTTAGAGCTAGTTGGAGCTATGACGATCGGTCTCCACTGAGTTGTTTCTACGTTAACCCTGCGCTGCTATTCTTCAGTCAACATCTACTTCTACTTGCTCTATATACCTACCACCCTCTCTCTATCAAACCCTCCCCCTCAAAACCAGACAACTAAACCCAATGCCAATCGATCCCCCACCAAACCCACCCTCCACCTCTTCTCCTTCCACCACCACCACCACACCACCACCACCACCACCACAACAACAATCACCACCACCACCAACAATGCCCTCCGCAACCCCCGCGTCCGCAACCACCGCCGCAACGAAACTGTCCACCGCCATGGCCACCGCCATCCGCAAAGCCAACCCCATCCACTTCGGCCCCTTCCCCGTGACCACGCAGGTCTTCCACCTGACGCGCTACTCCTACGCCCTCGTCAACCTCAAGCCCATCCTGCCGGGCCACGTGCTCGTCTCGCCGCGCCGCATCGTGCCCCGCGTCGCCGACCTCACCCCGCCCGAAGCCTCCGACCTGTTCCTGACCGTCCGCCGCGTCGCCCGCATGGTCGAGCGCGTGTACGGCGCCTCCAGCCTCAACATCGCCATCCAGGATGGGGTGGACGCCGGCCAGAGCGTGCCGCATGTGCATGCGCATGTGATCCCGAGGAAGAAGCTGGATCTGGAGGCGCAAGGCGGTGTGGATGCTGTTTATGAGTTGTTGGAGGGGGAGGAGGGGGATTTAGGGAAGATCTTGTCGGAGAAGCGGGAGGACGGGCAGGGGGATGGCACAGGGGTGGAGGGGACGGGGGAGAATGGTGAAAGGAGGAGGGCGAGGAAGTTTCCCAAGGTGGATGATGAGGATAGACATCCTAGGAGTTTGGAGGAGATGGAACAAGAGGCGAGGTTCTTGATGGGGGAGATGGAGAAGGAGGGGGATGAGTGATTTCCCCTTTGCTTGGGTGGGTGTGGTTGTATATACAGTATATACGTATACAGTACAGTGCTGCAGATGAAGAGCGCTATGATTGATTCATGCTAGTCTATAATCCTTAACGAATCTCTATGTCCGAATTTCATGTTTCCCATCGTGATCGTGGGTTCCTAATCAAACGCCCCTCCCAAAAACAACGCCGGAGATATGTCATTGCCCCATCATTCCGCTCTCACGCCGACGACGGCCCGTTGGCAGCAGCACCAGCAGCCTTCTTCCCAGCCCAGAACGCCTCCCGCTCCTGCATCACCGTCGCTGCCCACTCCTTCACTTCGGGCAACTGAATCCGGCCGGCCACATGGCAGAACTCCGTCAGGTCCACGCCGCTGGCGCGCTCGTACTCGACCATCTGCAGCAGCAGCTCCATCTTGTCGACGTCGTGCACGAACTGCGCCTCCAGCGTCTCGTTGGCCTCGTACTCGTGGAACACGGCCAGGATCTCCTGCCCCGTCGACGCGCCGGTGCCCGGCACCCCGGCCAGCAGCGTGCCGGCGATGTAGTCCATCACGGCCGCCTCGCGCCGCGCCTTCTCCGTCTTGTCGACCTTGTCCACCGGCGTGATGTCCCCCACCAGCGACTCGGCCATGTCGTGGATCAGCGCCATCTTCATGCAGTGCGCCAGGTTCAGCCGCGGCGCCAGCGCCGCCGGCGCCAGCATCGTCATGATCGACATCCGGTACATGTGGTCCGAGATGGATTCGCCCGCGTTGATCCCGAACCGGCGCCAGCCTTCGCGCTTGGTCGTCTTCAGCCGCTCCAGGAGGTGGAAGAACGGGATGGGCGTGCTGGCGTTCTCTTCGGGTGGGTGGGGCAGGGTTGCGAGGACTTGGTTGGCGAGTTCAGTTAGTTGAGTTTGTTTGGAGCGTGGTGATGTTTGCGAGGGGTCTACTTACCGGACTGGGTGGTCCAGAGGGCGTTGGTGGGGGTTTCGGAGCCCATTTTGAGAGCGGGATAGGTGTTTTGCTTGGAGAGGGAGGTTGAAAGGTGGTGGATGTTCTAGGGGTATATGATCACACCCAGGAGGAAGGAGGTTGAAGAAGAGGAAGTAGTGGGGAAGAAGAGAAAAGGATTGGAAATCGCAAGATCGAGAAAGGAAGAGAAACGCAAACGCGGGGAGAAAAAGCGGTGTTTACCTGATTGGGTTTGGCTTCGGATGGTCCACCGATCGGGGAGGAGGAGAGGATGCGCTGAGCTGCCTTCAGCTTCATCTCAGCATGGCTATGCTTCCAGTCCAGTCCCTACGGAGCCTTCCCCGTCGTGGCAGCAGCAATTGGAGCTCACCCTGATCAGCTGGACAGGTCTGATCGTGGGCCACTGCCAAGTCCTACCCATCTGCTCGTTTGGGCTCTTTGTTAAGTTGACGCCTCATATTCCCGGATTGGCTCCGACGACCTGCTCTCTCTCGCCTCGTCCATCTTCCTCCTACGTCACTCGAGTGACTTTCTTTTCCCTCTACCGTATACCTTGGTACGTTGTCTGTCTTCTGATTCTCTCACGGTCAGCAATTAACATCGCCAGATGTAACTCATCATGCAAGCCCGAACTCCCCGTCCCAAAACCCCGAACTGGTCCCCCCCGCCGCCCCTCGTCGTGTTTGTTCGCAACCTCCGGCTGCTCCAACTGGATACGCACCGTGACTGGCCCAACATCACCCTCCGCTCGCTGGCCGATACCTCGCAGAACCAGCGCCAGCGCCTCAAGCTCGTCGAATGGGGTCTCTACCAGCTAGTCACCATCTGGGATCCCGACACCGCACGCGATGTACGTCGTCGCTTATTTTTTGGCATAAACAAACATGCCCGACTGATCAGTGGCCTAGAAACTCCGCCCCTTCTTCCCTCCACTCGAGCCGCTGCAGTCCGTCAATTTGCGTGCCGCCTTGTTCCGCGTGCTATCCGAGTTGAAGAAGCAAGGTGACCTGGGCAGGGAAATAATCCTGCGGAAGTCAATGCTGGATGACTGTAGAGGCGAGAAACTGGACGAGCTCCTTGCCTCATTCTCCACTGCCGTCTTACGGAAGACGCTGGCTGCTTCTTCAGATTCCAGGCTTCAGAATGTGGCTGCCAACCTGTCAATGGCTCAGGGCCTCACCCTCCAGGAGTATCAGCTGATGCTGCCTCTGATTATTGCTCACCGGGCCTCCCTGAACCATATTGGCAGCGACTACGATCAAGCGAGAGATGCACAGGCGAGGTTCTCTCAGCTACTGGACCTCAAACAACGGCAGCTGGATGAGCGATCGACTGAGCAGCCGCCATCGATCTCTAGTGATGACGTCGACTTCGATGCGTTGGCTGGCGAACTCAGAGCCAACTGGCATGGCCGCGAGCAATGGGTTGATGCACTGCTTCATTCGGGCGCACGGAGCACTAATGATAGCTTCCTGGATCTGCCCTTTGAGTCTGCCTGGGCAAAAGCGAAGGAGTCGAGCGTCGACGACCTTACCGCGAACACTAGGCCGGATCTGCTGGTCGACCTGGAGTCACGAGTCGTCCGTCAGCGCGCCCGCATGCAGCGCTGGCGTCAGTACAGCGCTGATATGCGGAAGCACAATCGCGTAGACTCGACCAGCTCCCAGAAGACACAGCCTTCGTTGGTGTTTCGTGATCATCAAGCATTGACCGTTGCGAGTATTTCCAGGGCCATCCGAGAGCCGGTGGAAAGGGCCTCCTTGAAGGCCGAAGACCGAACCCTTCTGTTCTCCATGACAGAAGCCATCGCGCGCATCAATGGTCGGCCCTCCACACATCGTCGGCATGTCAGCGAATCAAGACAATTGCGCGAATTGCCTGTCATTGGTCCCTCCGCACCGGCAGAGGAAAGCACCCCAGCTGAAGAGAGCAAAACACCGTCGCCTATCGACCAAGAGCAACCTGCTCAACCTACCACGGCCAAGAAAGAGAACATTCCACCAACACAGATAGAGGACCATCGTGGCTCCGCTTTAGACGAGAAAGATCCCGAGCCCGTCACGAACACAAGCAATAGATTCACCCTTGTTGAACGAACCCGCAAATCGATGTCTCTAGTCCCACCACCTACATACATCAAGCCTCGGGAACGATTCCGATCACATCGGCCTCGTCCCTCGTTTCCTGTCAACCAATTCGAGACGCCCCGGAAACAGCCATCTCCCAGCCGGGCCTCCACCCCGCGCGATGAATTGTTCAACGAGGAAGCGGACTACGCCAGTGTGTTCAAGTCCCGGCCGCGCGTCGCGCATAGTCCCATCGCGTCGCCGGCGGTGCATATCAGTCCGATTGGGGACTTCGACCTGGACGCCGATATAGATGTGGACGAGTTCGAGAGAGAGTACCTTGATCAGACGCCGTTGGCCTCCAGACGAAGATTATGATGATGATGCGTGATAGACCGTATATGAGCCATGCTTACGTTGATAGTTATACCCATGCCAATATAGTAAAAAACAGACCCATACATCATAATATAATACATGTTTTGCATTTCACATCCCGTCGTTGTGCACCATTACTCTACATGCTCCGATTAGGGTTTACAATCCATCAACGCCACTGATCAAAAGATACACCGAAAGCGCCTGGGCTGCAAGCAAGCAAGCAGGCAAGCAAGCAGGCCATCATTTCCCTCTCGCTCGACCTCGGCCTCTTCCTCTTCCTCTACCCCCACCACGCGTCCGTCTGCGTGTGGCCGGCGGTTTATACTCGGCAACGAATCCCTCATCGTCGTCTTCCGAGTCGGGAATCTCGTCCGGAGGAGGGGACAGTTCCTCGTCGGAGCTGGAGGAGCTGAGCGAGATGGCGTCTGCTTGGGATTTACCGGAGCCGGCGCCGGCGCCGGCGCCGGTCATCTCCTCGTCGCTATCGGTGGGAGCCGTAGCGGGAGTATCGTCGTCATCATCACCAGTATCAGCAGCAACGGCGAGAGGCAGGGTAGCCCGTTTGCGACGTTGATGGACGATGATCAGCTTTTCGTTGTCGTTGTCGTTGTCGTCGTCGTCATCTTCGTCGTTGTTTGCGTCTTCTTGGTCGGGGAGCAGGAAGCCTCCGCCGCGATCTGACGATTCGTCTTCGCCAGGGAGGAGGAAGCCTCCGCCTCGGTTTGACTCGTTGTCTTCGCCAGGGAGCAGGAAGCCTCCGCCGCGATCTTCCTCATCCTCGCCAGGAAGTAAGAACCCGCCACCATCCCCATTCCCGTCCCCAGCACCAGCCTCAAACCCAGGTGTCCCCCCAGCACTCTCCGCAACCTGTCCCACCACCTGCCTCGTAAACGGATTCCTTTCCTCCCTCTCCCGATCGCCCTCCCCCGCCTCCCCATCCCCACCCCCATACTCCTCCCGCACACGCTGCGCAATCCTCAACCCAAACAAGAACTTCCGCCAGGTTTGTAAGATTCTCGCCTCAGCCTTGCGGGCTTCCTTCCTCCGCTTCTCCGCCTCCTCAACACGCCACGCATCCTTAACAAGCTCCTCATTCTCCGCCGCCACAACCACCCCCTGAATGACGGGGACCGCCATCTTGGACCCGAACTCGAACCCCGTGACGGCCTCGGCGTAATCGATCCCCAGCTTCTTACAGATGCGCACCGTGCCCGGCCAGGGGACGTGGCACGCGCCGCGGGGCACCATACTTGGAACGAAGCAATCAATATTCCCATAGTCGTTCTTGGGGATGACACCGTCGACGATGGGCGGGGGGATGATGTATTCGGTCTGATACTTGGCGTACAGCCCCTGCTTGGGCTTCTGGCCGGTCTCGCGTTCGTACTCGTCCACCTCGCGCTTGCGGAGCAGCGTGACGGCGCGGATGGGCACGTGTTTCAGGGGCGTCTGGCCCGGCGCGATCTGCCGGCCTTCCTTGTGCCAGCTCTCGGCGGATTGGCATCGTACGACGTCGGTTCGTCGGTAGACGAGTTCCGTTTTGGCTTTAGGACCTTTCCCTGAAGTGAAGGTGCGGACGTGCTGCGCGCCTGGCTTGAGGGCTTCTTCGCGCCGGAGAAAGCGTTCCAGCACGAAGTCGGGGGAGGTGCGGAGGCTTTGGAGGGTGTCTGGTGCCTCGCCGGTGGTGGTGACGTTCTTGCGTTCGGGTTGGTTGGGGAGGAGCGTCGTGCTGTTTTCCAGGGCGTCGATGGCTGTCTCGTGCTTGGGGGAGCGTTCGTAGACGCGGAGGACGACGCGCGCCCAGTCGTAGGTGATTGTTGTTGGGGCTGCGGCGCGGCTGCGTTTGCTTTTGGTCTGCGGGTGGATGGTGATCTTCTCGACGGGGATGCGGAAGCCTTTGGTCTTGCCAGGCCAGGTCCGTCGGCGCAGGTACCGGGTCGTGACGTCCTTGGCCGTCTTGTCGGAGGAGTAGGCGATCACGTAGCTGATCACTTGTTTGGCTTTCTCGGCTTTGGCGCCCCGCGGTTCGAAGGCCGCCTGCAGCTCCGGGGTGGTGGCCACGGCGTTGGGGAGGACGAGCGCGTCGACGGGGATAATCTCGTGCGTGATCGGCGAGGCGGCTTCAGTCCAGTAGATCGGGAATGGGAGGTCTTTGTCGTATCCCCTGAGGTTCTTGCTGTTGCTGCGCGATGGCGGTTTGGTTGCGGCGTCGCTGCTGCTGCTGTCGGATTCTAGGCCCATGACTTCGTCCGTATCGGCCGCTGCAGTCGATGCGTCGGTCGTGGGCTCGGTGTCGGTGGGCTTGGTGGACTGCTGCTGCTTTGGGGTGTAGGTCTCGGCTTTGGTCCATCCAAACCCCAGTGGCTGCAGACTGGCCACCAGCCGGGCTTCGATGCCGAGGGCGCGGAGCAGCGCCGTGAAGAGCTGCGCGCCCAGATCGCGCGAGCCCTGCATGCGCTCGGCCGCCTGGCGGAATTCGTCGAGGTCCGCGATCCGCTCCCCGTGGACGGCGGGATCGTGCGCGTCGTTCCGGAGCGAGGCGATCTGCACTTCCAGCTGCGCCATCGGTCGATACCCCTGCTTGCGCAAGCCCGGCGCCGTGATCGTGAACTGCTTCTTCCAGTAGGCGGCCAGGACCTTGAGCAGCGGGATGATCGGATCCCCGCGACTCATGTCGGGCTGTCCCGCCTCCAACCGCTCGGAGCCCTCGGTCCAGTCCCGCTCAGACGGTCGACTCTCTTGCTGTGGCTGCTTGCCCTTGCCCTTGCCCTTGCCCTTGCCCTTGCGGGTAGGTTTCTTCTCCGGCGGCTTTTGGTCGGGCAGCTCCAGCCCTGACGAGACACGCCATTTCTTGACTTCCTGGTGCAGTGCGGGTGGGAGCTTCCGGCGCAGGATCTCGTGGAGCTTGGGGTCGTTGGCCCAGGCGTTGCGCAGGGCGTTGTGGTAGAGCAGGAAGCGCACGTGCAGGCAGTGGGTGGTGATGCGGATCTGGCGCTCGATCTTGGAGGGGGCCTTCTTGCCCTCGACGATGTCGGCCAGGTGGACTTCGTTCTTGTCGAGGGTCAATTCGAGGTCCTGGTGTTGGTGGTGGTGGTGGACCGGGGCGAGGATCGAGGGTGTTCGTGGCGTGGCGGCCCCGGCGCTGGCGCTGGCGGTGCCGGTGCCGGACTCGAACGCATCCTCCCAATCGACCTCCTCGGACTCGCTACTGCTGCTATCTTCGTCGGAGTCATTGGTAGTACCTGGATTTGGGGTGTCTTGTAGGTCGTCAGGCACGTCGCTTAGTGACGAGTCGGTGGAGGAGGAGTCGGTGTCGTCGTCGAGCACGGCAGCAGCGGCGGCGACGGCGGGCGTCGCATTATGACGTTTGGGCGCGGGCGGATCCTCGTCGGAGACACGCTTGCGCGAGACGAAGGGGGGCATGCACGCAATTGATTGGGTTTACTTGGGAGGATGGGTCGGAGGAGAGAAGGGTGTAGTGAATTAGCTGGACTGGAGGTGAATGGATGGTAAGGGAAGGGAAGGGGTGGTGGTTGTTGTGTCGTGTTGTACAATAGATGTGCTGAAGGCGGAACAAAGAGCGACGAGCAGAAACGATGAGGAATGAGGAAATGATTTCCCCTCATCGGCTTTCCTCTTTCTCCACTTCTTCCCCAGATGGTTCTTATCACCTTCGCACCGTCAACCAGTTTATCCCTCACAGTATCAGAAACTTGATTTACCTCTGTGCTGAAGATTCTACCAACCAAGGCCTATTCACAATGTCTGCTACGATGGAAGCCGTCAAAGTGTTCTTCAGCTCGCCGCGCTTCGCCGTGGCCGGCGCGAGCAACGACCCGGCCAAATTCGGCCATCGCAGTATGCCTTATCCAATCTTCCTCGATAAGAACCACAAGAACCACAAGAACCACAAGAACCATTAGCTGACGCAGTTAGTTCTGGCGTGGTACCACCACCATTCGCTCCCTGTTACGCCCCTCAACCCGCGCGCTGCCTCCATTCAACTGCACTCGACCAGTCTACCGACGGTCGCCTCGGTGCGCGACTTGCCCGCTCCGACCGAGACGTCGCTGTCAGTGGTGACTCCCCCCGCGGTGACTCTCGCTCTCCTTCGCGAAGCATATGCGGTCGGCATCCCAGCTGTCTTCCTGCAGCCTGGCACTTACGACCAGGCGGTGCTGGACTACCTGGAGGGACATTTTGCGGCGGCGGTGGTGGGCGCGGGAGGCCGAGGCTCGGAGGGTTGGTGTGTCTTGGTCGATGGCGAGGATGGCTTGCGCGCTGCGGGGAGAGAGTGGAAGAGTCAGCTGTAAATGAATTAATTATATGAGACCATCTTTACTTCCTCAAGATCTTGTAATGTGTTATGTGAATGAGAGAGTATTCGAGAAGCCATGAAGAAAGTAGAAAAAACAAAGATAAAGAAGAGGTTGGGGTGTAAACTGAAAAATGAGGTATTGTTGGGGGGGTGACTTGCTTTCACCTCCGTTTCCCCGTTCTTATTTCCTTCCCATCTTCTTTCTTGCTCTTCCTCCTCACTTCCTCTCTCTCACTTTACCATCTCCCCCGTCGACTCCACCCACTCGCATCAACATCCCCCACCTCCTTTTGTTTTGTTTTTATCTCTCAGATTCAGTCTTCTTTGGTTCATCTCGATCGGTACATTCTCTACAAGTGATTGCTGCACCAGAAGGATGCCCACCGGTTCGATCATTCTGGATTCGCCCATTCCTCCTCATCTCGATCTGGCCGGGGCGCCTTCGCAGCTCTTCCAAGTCCCTCCCTCGCCGTCAGCCTCATCGGCGCTGTATCGCTCTATCGCCGTCCCGCCTCGCAAACGGGCTCGTCCCAACCTCGACCAACGCTCTTCTTGGCTGCAAATCGATGGCGCCTTCAGCCCTACCGTTCCGTCGCTGATCGGCCCCGACGACCTCCTACACAGCGCCGATGGTATCGTCGACCTCGACTATCGACCCAGCCGGTATCGCGAGCCGGCCCATCCATTCCCTCTCGATGCCAGCGTCGACTCTCTCAGCGAGGCCGGCGGTCTTCGTCGCAAACGCAGTCGTCGGGACCCTTCCCTGATCGCTGCCTCGCCCACCGGCCCGGATGAAAAGGGTATTCCTCCGAACGTCACACCGGACCCCTCCGATGCCGCACCCGTCCGCTGGAGCAAGGCTGTCCTGGGCGTGGTCGGCAAGGTCTGGGATTTCTGCTGGTCCGGAGCGTTTCGGGGGTTCTACGCCGGCGGCGGCCGCGGATACAACATGAGCAGCGAGGAGGATGCTCTCTCGCCGTCGTTCCCATCCCCGGCCAGCGAGAAAGAATCCCTGCCGGCCACTCCCACCGCCCATTTCCGTCAGCGTCCGCGTCAGCGGGGACCATCCACCCCTCTTCCCGGCGAGTATCCCGACGAGGACGATCTACAGCGCAGCTGGGTGATGGTTTCCGCCGGCAAGTCGTCTAGCCCGTCGTCCTCGCTCGCCACCAATCGCAGCACCACTCCCAGGCGGGTTCCCCGCCGCACTACAACCGCCGCCCATCACGCCTCACGTCGGGGACGACCCCACAACAAGCGGGTGCTGACGTCGCATGCGCCGTCCCTGCCAAGTCAACCCTACTTCTCCTCGCCGGCCATGCCGCGCGAGAGTCCGGTGTCCGTGGACACGCAGCGCCACATGGCGGAAATGCGTCGCATGGAGCGCGAGGGGAACGCCAGCATGCGAAGGATGGAGAAGAAGCTCGAGGCGCTGATCCGCGAGGGTACCCAGGCGCTGGCTACCCGTGTGGAGGTAACCGACTTGGACATGGAAGATTGAAGGCCCCTTCTTGGATGACACAAATTGATACCCTTCCTTTTTTCTTGTTATTTGGACTCTTGTTTTTGTTGTTATACGACCTCGTCACGCTCATTACGATTTGACACGACAGCGATGAAATTCGGTTGATGATTGCATGATTAAAACGAGTGCTTCTTTTGTTGACACCAGAGGTCAGGCTCGAAGCACTGATTCTGTGTGTGATACGGCCTACTCTTCCGAGAACGATATTCTTATTCCCATTCTCACGAATAGTTCCCTAAAACAAACCTTACGAATGACATGTCTACTTTGACTTTGATGCTCGCACTTTGAATAATGAAGATTCATTGACTCATCGCCACACCATACCCTACCCGGTAATCCCCCGTCCATTCTCCAGACATACCACCACCAACCCTATATTCCGAACAATCTAATCCATCAATCTATTGCCCCAATGCCGAATTCAACGGCGAAGAGATCTGGATACTCTTCAACACCCCGTCCAGCCCGCCCATGCCTTCGATCATGCTGAACAGATCCGCCCCGTCCATGCGGGGAGCCTTGCTCGTGGACTAGTTGCGGCAGGGTGGTGTTAGTAGTTGTATCTTTGACTGTATCTGCAGGGGTGGAGTAGAGCGTATAGAACCGTGCTGGTAGGGGTGGGTGTTTGGGGGAAAACGCACGGGAATCGGCATCGCCACGCCCATGGCGACGAGGACGGAGGCGACGACCGCGATGGAGAATTTCATTTTTGGGGGGGGGGAGGCTGGTGGTTGATGTTAGTTCTTGTTTTTAGTTGGTTTCTGGGGTGGAGAGGGGAGGAGTGGTGGTGTACCTGTTAGATTTGGGTTAGATTTGTCGGTGGTGGTTGTTGTTGGATGGGTTGCTCACGGGGAAAGAGAAAAGAGGGAGGGAGCGAGCGAGGCCAACGAGGATGAGGTGTACATATGTATGCTACGGTGCTGGTGCTGGTGCTGGTTGTGGTATGTTTCGGAGTGTCGATCCCTCAAGGGTATCGCGTTGAGGGCGTGTGGAAGGGGTGGTGGTGGTGGAAGGGATAATATGATGATTGGGGCGTGTCTTACATTCTTGGCGAGAGGGGTTGTGGTTGGGTTTGATGTTGTTCATGGGGGGTTTTTTTTTATTGCATAGGTGGTAGTTGGTTGATGAGGGGCTTCTCAGACATCTTTGTTTTATTTTGTTTCGTTCTGGATGATCCTGTTGATATGTTCTATGCCCATTGGGGGATTATGCAGGTAGATGTGGAAGTACAAAAGACGGACGAGCAGCCACACAGCCGAACAGGCTGGAATGCCGGCTTCGCGAGGGTGGCATGTGGCTTGCTTTCATGCTGGAACAAGCTTTGCTTGGGCTGGAGACCGATGATAATTGATAAGACAAGAAGGGGTGCACGCGTTGGTTGTTTTGCAGGGGCAGAGGCATGGAAGATTGCGTGGTGGCTGCAATGCAATGCAGTGCAGTGCAGTGCAGTGCAGTGGAAGCAACCTTAGATGTACAGTGCTTGCTGTAGTGTACTGCAGTATGAGCTATGCTGGGGTCTGTGCTTTTCATGTCCTCAATCATTTGGTTCATCGATTTGACGGAGTGGATTCCTCTGTTCTCTGGAGGATGTGCGACAGTCCTAGTATGTGACATGGTGGAAGAAGGAAGGGAATAGGTTGATAGTACTACGTGAGCTATTGGGTTTTTAAAGGTACTGTACAGTACTTCCATCCGAAGAAGCTAATTTGATTGTTTTAAGGAAAACACAATCAAAAAGAAAACTTGTTCCATGTCATTTTCTACATCGAGGAGCTGGTAATATTATCGTTCATTCTGTATTGCAAGGGGAAACAACACCACTAGCGCTTTCCTTATTTGTGATCTCCTCGACTAGGGCCGAATATCAATCATCACTACTGCATCTCCAAACCCCCACCACCTGCTTACCAAACACATGCTAGCCATAAAAGACAACACGATTAACTAACCCATGTATCATCAACGTCAAACATGTCAAGCTCCTCCCTTCTAGGCACCATCAAAAACTAAAAGGCTTTGAATGTTGATATTGCCATAACCACGCTGGCGCAACAACTCCCGGCCCCGGTGAACAGGGAACTCCGCCACAACCATGACCCTCACATCCTCAGCACGTATGCCAGCTTCAACCAAAAGGTTCAGCACTGCGCAAAGTGTCCTCCCCGTGGCCAGCACGTCGTCCACCACCACCACCGACGCACCTTCGGGAATCAGACCTTCTTCGATTTCAAGCCACTTCTCACCCGAGTCACTAGGCGCCAGAGACGAGATGTGCGATGCAATTTTGGGAACAGAAAACGTCGGTAAGGGGAGCTTTCCACCCTCGCGGATCAGTGCTAAAGGTGCAGCAACTTGCATGGCCAGCGGCGACGCGTACACAAAGCTACCGGCTTCGCAACATGCTATCGCATCAATTTTTGCCCAGTCACCGGTGAAGTGAGATTGCAGAAGGGATGTACACAATGCAATTCCGCTCGGCTGCTGCGAAATGCCCAGCACATGGCGGAATTTAATGGCCGGGCGTGGAAAGTCGTGTACCGTGCGGACCATGTTTGCCAGTCGCTGCAGGTCCACGTCGACGAGAGGAAGTAGGTGTTGCTCGCCGAACCCTCTCACTGCTGCGTCTCCGGGGGTGTCATTCTCGAAAATGAGATTGGCGCAATATTCTAAGGCGGCTGTCTGGTCCTGGCGTTCTGGCTGGCTGCCCTGGCACCCTCGACGAGATAGCCGTATCTCTTCGCTAGCTTCAACGCGCACATCGATTAGTCTAGTACCTGGCAGCAAATGCGAAAAGGCTGCGACCGGCGCCTGATCTCTCATTCCGGTGATCAGCAGCACATCCACGTCTACTGCCCCGTACACCACATCCAGAAAACGCTCCTCTGGCAGCTGAGGTCGAACCCGCGCTTGACCCTGGAAGAATTCTGTCAATGCGGGCCGGTGCTGTTCTTTGTAAGCACGATCTGACAGAAGCAGGTTCAGATCTGCACCGGTAGCTGCCGCGTATGCTCGCTTCGTCGCGTCGCTAATGCTCACCGTGCGCACTCTGAAGCTTCCGTAGGTGAATACAGAGGCCCAGATCCTGGCACAATAGTCTTTCCCGGCGCAGCTTTCGCCCGTGACAAGTATGATAAGCTTATGTTGAGGTGCTTTTGGAAGTGGGCAGGCGTAGGGCAACACGTTGTGCGGGTCTGAGCTGTGCTTGATATGGGCCAGACGCAGCCGGTTCAGACCAAAAGCCTTAGCTGCCAACGCGGAGTCTCTAGGGTTTGGTCCTAGGTCTGTGCTGTAACACCCGCTACTCAAGGGCAACAAGTCTTTGGTGACGTCGTATACCCATTTCTCAACAGCCCCGGCAGCTTCGGTTTCGTCTTCGCGGGGCCACACACCAGTTATCATGCATGCAAAGCCCCAATCTCGACAGCCAAAAGCAGTGGCATCAGCCGCCACATCATTGACAGCTCCTCCACCTTGCAACAGCTGAACATAGCAGAGTGGTGTGGGACGAGTCTCCATGGCCGTCAGCAAGATGTCAGCGACATCTGCTTGCCCAACCTGCTTCAAGAATAAACACCGCTTGAAGGAGTAAGTCTTGCCGCTGCGGTGTCCGCCATGAAGTTTGGTCATGTACATGTCGACGTCAAACAGCCCGACACTTTCGACGTGTTTAATATCATGTTCAGACCCCAAGAATGTGCAATTCGGCGTGGGGTATGATAGTTCATGCGTAGGATCAGTTGTGCATGCCTCAAACATGGTCACGCCAAGATGCAGCTGGTCCATGTCCAAGTACAGATACGCATCTGCAGAACAGTTACGAGGAAGTTTGCTCGCAAACTGATCAACCTCGATAAGCTTTTGTCGCGCCTCAACACGGTCAGTCAACGGGATGGCCCAGTTTCGCACCGAATAGGTCGGAGCTACGAAAGCCTTGAATGTGACGCTGACTATAATGCCAATGTTGGTTCCGGCACCTTTTATCGCCCACAGTAGATCGGATTCGTTTTCTGGCGGATAGTACCAGCAGGCCTGTGCTTGATTGGCACATCGCCGATGCAGAGTACCTGGCTTGAATCAACGCTGACAAGTACAGCGCCGACAATGGCATCGCATGCAAGCCCGTATAGCCGAGCCAGATGCCCGATGCCACCTTGCAGCCACAGTCCCGCTCCTACACTCGGTCGTGACCCCAAGGGCACCGTCAAGCCCGCCTCCATAGTCTTCTTGATGATATCGCTTGTCTTGCAGCCCGCTCCAGCGACTACCACAGACCCAGAATCAGAATTTGGATCTCCAGTGCCAGCCTCAACCGGGACAATATGTACTTCGTCGCATTCGATCATGTCGACTGAGACAACGTGGGGCCGTATACAGTGGCCACTGTGACCCCCGCCAATGACTGTCAGACCAGCCCCGTGCTTCAGGGCCCATCGAACGCAATGCTGAACATGTTGGATGTTCCGTGGTTTAACGATCAAGGGAGAATGATTGAGGCGGGCCACTCGATCCTTCAATGGCTCGTTCAACATGGGCACGTGTCTTGTCAGCTTACCAAACGAGTTCGCGTGCTCTTGGAAGACCGTAATAATTGTGGGTAAGTCGAACAACAGATAATCGGAGTCCTTTTTCTCGCACCGGCTTATGCCGCGGCAGAATCTCTTCCACCTGTTCGCCAGGGTGGACGGTGTGCTGAAATGCGCAAGACGATCCAGCACTTTATCGTCATCTATCACGCGAAACGTTCTGGGAGGAAGAGAAACTGTTTTGTGGCACACTAATCCGGTCACATACATAGGCAGTGTACCGTCATGAATCATCATCACCATTCCACCCTCGGGTCGCTTCGCGAGCATTTTCAATGTCCATTGCATGGACGCAAATCGAAGCACGGAGTGTGTCTCATGAGAGAAGAAGATGACGTCAAACTTCTCCTTGCTATCATATGCAACCGGCCTGGTACCGCTCAATGTAGGGAATGCCGTGTTAAGGGGGATTCGACGGATGTTCGGCGGGATTTCGAGGCAAGGTAGAGGAGAGCCCATCTCGGATGGGGAGTGAAGCCATTCTTCTAACCTTGTAGCAGACCGATCATCAGGTTCAATCGCAGTGTATCTCGAGACCTTGCGTCTCAGACGAGGGGAGAAATAGTGAAGGATGCTCTTTGGGCCAGGTCTAATTTCCAGCACCGAGACATGATCACGCGAGTCGAAAAGAGGGTTCAGCAGTTGGGTCAGGTGAGCTGTAAAAAGGTACTGATATATTGGTGATTCCGGGTCCAAGGTCACAGATGCAGCCCTCTTCTCTGTGTCTGCCCCTGGCTGATCTGCCGATGCTGCTGCTGCTGCTGCTGCTGCTGCAATGAGCGAACGGGAAAGACTTTCATTGAAATATTTGAGGTCAGTCATAGCAACGTGGCTCAGTGCCTCTGGAAACGGGATGCTTAGATATGAGTTCCACGATCAGGATATATTTGTCTGCGTGTACAGAGAGCTTGCAGCAGCGGATGTATATTGGTGTGGCCGACTTCTGAAAGAAGCTGCTGCTGACAGCTGGAGGACAGTGGAATCAGGTTGAGGGGTTAGGATAGAATTCTTGATGGATAGTATTGAAGAAGGTTCAAGAGGGTTGAAGAGAAAAGAGGAGGAGAAAAAGTTGGAGGGAGAGAAACAGGATGGTTGTTGTTTTTGTAGGCGAGTGAATGAAGAGCAAACGACGCGCGGGGGGCTGGGAGGCTGCCTATCGGTTCATGATCCCAAGTCATACCATTCACCCACATCAAATCCTGTTATTCCACTGTGTTACCTGGCCAGAGGACTCTCACATATCGGCAACTCTGCAATGTGTTTGTCCTAAATAGGCAATGGGAGTGTAAGAAGCGGCTCAACTCCTGTTTGATGAGGCTAAACAGGCACCAGGCACTCTGGTCAAGCTGCAATACTCTACTGAAATAGAAATAAATCGAATATTAGAATCGTGAGGTGTCGGTGGGTATCCAACGCAGAATGCGGTATCGGTTATAGACGCCTCATGTGCTCGGCATCCCAAGTGCAAGGTATAATAAGTCAATAACCTCATCCTTTGGTCCGCTCACGCTATCACACCAGTGGGAGAGGATCTCAGACTTTGGTGGCGTTGATATACACTGTCTAACACAAATATGGATGGGCTGATATCAAGATTGATATTGATGCAGCAGCGCAACCTCGCCTCACCTCGCCACCACCACCACCACCACCCACTTCGATCACTCAACACCTACACCACCTTCCACCCAACCACTCCAAGAAGCACCATCAGATAAGATCCCCCCGGCCATACCACATGGCACCAACCGGAATGTCTCACCGCATCCCAACCAACACGACCAAGCAGAGCCCAGCCCTAAAAGTGGCTTTTCGTGATCGGTTGACATCTCGACAGAGGGGGCGCTGTGATTGGCTAGAGGGGGGATATGTCCCTGGAGACGACGCGTAGAGAGTAACACAGTCCTGAGGTTCAGCCTTAAGGGTGGATTTTCGTGATTGCTTTGACATTTCGGTGGCTGGTGGGTGCCTGGGTAAGGGATTGTGGTTATTGTGGGTGGACGTTGCGGGTGTAGGCTGGGTGTTGTAGACGTAGTAGCTTGACTTGTGGGCTTCTGCGGAGATTATATAGGATGCTAGAGGCGTGAGCTAGTGTTGAGGCTGTGTTTTGCGCTAAGGGTGGGTTTCGTTGTGGGATCAGCGTAGAATGCGTGGACTTGCTGTGGTTCAGGCAGGGCTGCTTTTGTCTAGTAAGTGGTGGCCTGCCTGGGTATTGACTCATATCAGCAGATTCCCTTTTATTCCCATCGCTTGTAGAATGAGCGCAGAGGAGTCGAAGATAGCCTACAGCATTTGTCAGGCAAGTTCTCCCTTTTGATTAAATCACTAAAAAAGGCAATCCGCACCACGCGAAACCCTCGATATGAAGGCGACAGCCCGCCACCAAGACTAACAATCAAATCATATTCAGCTCATACATCATACTACGTAAATCATACCCTGCGAAACCAGCACCCAAGGTCCAAGCTTCACCGGCAACACCAGGCTATACAGCGACATGCTCAATAAATCGCCCTCTGCCTGCCTCACTCTCAGTTCTGATGCTAGCGGCCTCGCCCTGCCCCCGAGACTGCACCTGTTCGACCGCCACCAAAGCCGTCTCGCTCTTGTGGGAGCTGCTATCGTACCCGCGCCGGCTCTTGTTGCCTGCAGCCGGACATCTGGTCTGCCGTAGCCGCAGGGCTGTCAGCAAAGGATTGCCCGGATGATAGGCGGAGTGGCCGTAGAGATGCTGGTTCTGGGAGGTGACGAAGAGCTGGCGGAAGGAGGCGACGCAGGAGATCATAATTGCTGACAGATGTTCAGTCCCTTGTGAGCTCCGGACAGGCACCCACAGACACGACGGAGAGACCTACCGGTGCCCATCTCGATGAAACTCCACATCCACAGCCAGGTCATATCCATGTTGTGGTCGAGGGCGTGGTTGGTGACGACGCGGATGATGGCCACGGCCACGATAACCATGCTCGCGGCGAAAATGCCGAGGAGGATCAGTTTCTTCGTGAGCGAGATCCGCACATTCCAGACGATGAGGATGGGAATGGAGAGGACTGTGTCTGTCAGCGGATTGAGAATGGAGGAATAGTGATATTGGCAGGTCTACTCACTGAGAAGATCGGTGATCACGTCCCCGGCGCAGTTGGCCCAGAAGGTCCCATTCTGCCAGCGGATGTGGTAGGGCTTGTTGCATTGCTCTTGTCCTCCATATTAGAGAAGCTGAGTTGGATGAGGACAGCATCAATCTCACCGAAGATAAACTCCACGCCTCCCAGGCTACATTGGTAGTCAATGTCCCCAACCGAGATCACCCAGACCGCCAGGGTGATGACGGAGACCACCCACCACCATCTGCGATGGGTTTGGATTTTGGATCCCAGCTTGTAGAAGAAAGTCAGGAAAGAGAACTTGACACACCAGAGTGTGGTGTAGAAAAGGAACATGAATGGGGCTTCGAATCGCATCAACGCGTTCAAGCGTGGCACGACACTCGGCGTCAAAGGCGTTTTGCCGGCGCTGAGGGCATACAGCTCGTAGAGTACCGGGGATTCAATCCGCCAGACGATGCCGGTGATGACAGAGAGTGCCCAGGCAAGAAGCACGAAGAAGTCATCGAGGAAGAGTCGTCGGAAGGTCTTCAGGCGGATGATGATGCGAGCGACGACGAAGACTGTCGATGATGCGGTGAAGGTCCAGAGAACACCCTAGGGATGCTGTCAGATGTATGAGTTTCGAAGCTCGCAAGAAGAATACGAACCGTAAAGACGGACCTCGATACTTTGGCATCCTGAAGGCCCGTAAGTACGAATGCAGTTGACATTATGATCTTGGAAGCGGTGCTGGTATGGCAAGAGACACACACATGGCTTGGAGTCTGAAAGGTGCGGGGCAAAGCAGCTTAATATCGACAAACGAATGTCCCCTCCAACTCATCATTTCTGGTCCTGGCAGAAGTCTCTACAGCTTGAATCATGATGAACCCCGCCGTCTTATGTGGGGGCGATGCAGCCGGTGCGACATTATCACACAAGAGAGCTGTGGTGTGCCATCGTAGGTACATCCTGAGACGATGTCTCAATGATAAGCAATGTGTCGGGCCAGAGCCAAGGTTCATAATATCCTAATCCGGTAAATAGGAAGTGCATGTTTTTGTTTGATCGACGGATGTTGGCTGCAGAACTAGATGAGATGCCAATTGGAGGCATGGATCAGGTGACGGCGGAAACCCCCCCCCCCCCTCTTCGTCCTCCTCCTCAATA